GATTACAGTGAAGGGTATTCCTGGTGCCTCAAAGAGGCTCTGCAGTTCTTGTCTCTCCATTCTGCAAACACAGAAACCCAGATGAAACTGCTGTGCCACTTCCAAAGGCCTAAAGTTACAGCCAAGGACTCAAATTCTCCAGCTCCATCCTCTGCAGCCCACCAAATGTCTGCAAAACAAGCAGCACTGAAACCCACCAGCAGACTTTGGAGGCCCTGGTAGATTAGAAGGACTTCTGTATGGTTTCTGGACATTCACTCATATTCCAGAGGAGACTGTGACTTGCTGTACAAGTCCTCTCACTCCTCTAATGAGTAGGGAAGAATACTTTCCTTTTACAGAGCATACTTATGCTTGGATGTCAATTTCCCTTCTAGAAGGATCTAAATGCTCCCACCACGCGGAGAGGTAGCTATTCTAAAAGAATGTGCAAAGTAATCCTCATGGTAGGATGACTGAGGAGTTGTTCAAAAGGGAACTTTTAATGTTTTTTTAACCTTGCTGAGGTTTTTGAGTGTATTTGTTTAGAAAGAAGTAACTTCTAGGAAGTTTAGGCTACAGTTTTCAGAAGCGTCCACTCAACTGGAGTGCCTCCAATTTTAGCGGCCCAACCTGAGACTCACAGAACATTGATTTTCGAAGCGTGCAGCATCCCACTCCACTTGATTTCAACTGGAATTGTGGGAGTTCACCGCTTGTGAAAAATCAATGACCCACAAATCATAAGGTGAGCATTCAATCTTAGTGGGCACCTTTGAAAATCTGGCTCTCATATTGTTGTTGTAAGGGGTTCTATAATGTTTATAGAGTTTATTGAGTGTATTTGGAAAAGTGTTACACCATAACTCAAGCTACGTAGAGGAGATTCTTCAGGATGTATTACTCTTAAAAGCAGAGTATTGTTTGTTATGTTCAGGATATGCAATGCCTTTTATAAAGGCAGTAACTTGTTTTGTATCCTCATAAGAAGGAAAGTATCAACTTGTGTTGTCGGTTTTACAAGAAATATTTAGCAAAAGTCTTTCATGAAAGGCAACTGTACAAGTTATATTTACATTTTTGGTACCATAATGTTATGGAAGATAGTCTATTCACTATAATCCTCAGAGGATGCTCTGATGTGTATCTGTCAGGTGCACCGATTGTATGATCTGTGTTTGAAACCATTTTGAATTTCAAAAGTTGCAGAAACTTTACACACTGTTAAAATAAAATCTGATTACTGAATCTATATGCAGCAAGTTATTCTCTCCTGTGTAGAAATCCCTAACTGATGCCCCTTTGACAGAGGCTTCACAGGATAGTGCTCTTTAAAGAATTACCATAGGAGACCTCACAATAGATACACAAAGATCACAGTTCAGCTGTGGAGCAACCCAGATTTGTAAAGTTTGATCTAAGGCACTGTAATTTGAATGACTCCTATTGATTAACATACAGAATGGCACTGACAAGATCCAGAAGGAGCCATAGTCAGCCTTCCTCAGCAGTGAGGAAAGCGTGAATAGGGATTACTCATGTGAGTAAGGGTTTGCAGGATCAAGCACTCACATTCTATAATGCAGCAGAATGCCCACCCTCAACACTCACTATCCAGAGTCAGAGGATTTCTTTAATTCAGAGGGGAAATGTTTTAATGGGCCATTTGGTGTCTGCCTTTGGGTTTAATAAGGCAAATCCACTATACTCATGGCTGGTATCCCTGAGTTGTTGAGACTGTGCCAGGAGACAGTGAGGGGAAAGCAAAGCCCTTGCTAAGGGGAAGAGTCCAATAAATATGATTCTATAGCAGACTTCTCATAGATCTCATATTCATTTAACAAGGCTACTCACAAATTAGTTCAAAGACAGACACTTAACTTTAGTACTGTACTTTTAACTGATCATTTTGCAGCTTCTTAGTCACATGCTAGATATACCCCTTTAACAAACAAAATCAAACACCTTGCAGACGTCCAACAATAATATTAAGCCCTTACATATTATGATTCCCACTTTAAATATAGAAGAACTGAGACAGAGATTAAAGTAAAAATATTCTAAACAAGCCCCTAATCTTCAGATGCCCAATTTCAGATGTCTAAGACCTGATTTTCCAAGGTGATAAAGGTATACAGTTTCACTGACTTCAACTGGAGTTATGAGCGCTCAGCACCTTCAGAAATCACTCCCCCAAAATGAAGACAACCAAACATCACTAGACACTTAGACCCAAGTGACTTACCCAACATCACAGAAAAGGTGAGTGTCACAGCTGGATTTAACTCAGGAGCTCTTGGGTCTCGGTCCCGTATTCAGACTGATAGGTCCGGGGTGGCTCTGATGTATCTATGAATGAGAAAAATGAGGGCCATCATTTTAGAAACAGAGAATCCACTTCAAGTAAGGAAGAAATAACTTCATAAGTGAAAATAAACTTTGCTAGGTACTTAATGTTTAATTCCCTTCTTTTTATATATTAAATAGATGTGGGGCAGCAACAGTTAGTACTAAGAGATGCAACAAAATTTAGATCCAAATGGTTTTCCACATAAAGCAGAAATATTTGTAGCTACTTAATTCTTCCTTGCGGGGAAAAGCCAGTATACCTGGGGCTTGAACCCACAACACTGATGTGAATGGGAGCAGTATTAGGGCCACAGAGTGGGAAAGTTAGAGGCTACAAAACTCAAACTATATGTTAGGCCAGCAAGGTATCCCTTTATTCAGAGAAAAAGGAATACTGGGAGCTATTACGCTGATGATAACCCTTAACTCTCCCTCATTTCAGTTAAACCCAAATGTACCTCCATTCCGCACCAACCTGCCTTTACCTCATATTTGTTAGTGCAAATGTTTTACCTGAGAATGCAGAAGCACATATGCAAGGAGCTAAAAAATGGTGTTTGCAATAAGGGAATGTATCCCACCTAGAATCACAGAAATTAGAGGTCTGTCAGGTCTCATCTAATGTGTCTCCTACAGCATATTTGCTATTTTGTCTAGTATTTTGTCTAGTCCTGTATAAATAGCTCAATTGTTGGAGTTTCCAGCAATGCCCCTGCATCAATGTAAGCTCTACGTATTGCCACTTCTCTTGCTGTTTGCCCTATCGTTAGTTTATGACAGGTAGAGACATTTGTTTGACTCTGACTTTACCCTCCAAAAACTCCTGTCTTCTTTACCCACATTGAACCATCACTCCAGTTTTGACTTATACGTTTTCAGGGAGGGATCATGTGATGTTTGCTGCACAAGCAGAACTGTAATCTCCAACTGTGCTATGCCACCCTGTGGCCCAGTTCAAGCACTGTGTCAGTATGAAACAGCAATATTACGGAAAGCTGCAACACCTTTCTCATTTGGGTGGGTTTGGGGGTCTTCAGATTAGCATCAAAATATAATGTGTTACTGAATCCATTCGCAATAATTTGTCCTCAATTTTTTGTGCAATACCTGGAAAAATCTCCTTTTCTCTCACCAAAAATGGAGCGGGGGTACAAACTCTCTCAAGAGCAGGGAGGACCTGCAAACTACAAGTCTTTATTTGGGGTGATCTACTGTAAGTGCAGGATATTATAGTGTACTAGTATTATTAACAACAATTTATGATCATAAGGTACTTTGAGATCCTTGGATGAGAGACCCATAGAAAGTATCATTGCTAATAAAAATAAATGATGATGCTATATTAGAGAAGAGGCAAACAGATTATTTGTATCAATGTGCCTTTTCCCCTCAATAACTTTGGGACTTCAGATGAAATGGAACACAAACCCCCAACACACCCCCTACCATCTCTTCAGTAACTTTGTGGGCTGAGGATGAAATGGGGCCAGGTGGAAACCCCTCAGCAACTCCGAGGTGCAAATAAAAGTGAATCCAGACCCTCACACACCTATAACGTTGTAGATCATAGATCTAGACCCCTGTAACTTTTGGGGGGGCGGGCAGATTATTTGGCATCAAAGTTCTAACCTACCAATAACTTTGTAAGGTAAAAAATATGGAGCCCAGTTCCACCCCCTCATAACTTTTTCGGCTGCAGATAAAATGGGGCCACGATCCACCTTCTCACACCGCCCTGGGCAAAAAGGATGAATGCTGGTAAAGCTTTAGGGAGCCCCAGCCTGCCCTCATTTGCATAATATGGGCACATACCATATTAATATGTAAATATATGCGCATATATTTGCATACCGATGAGGCCAGACAAGGTGGTGGGTGGCGTTCAAAATGGCGGAGCGGGCCGGGCGAGGTACCAGCAGCGGCAGTGACAGCAGCCTGGACAAGAGCATCACTCTCCCGCCTGACGAGATCTTCCGCAACCTGGAGAACGCCAAGTGCTTCGCCATAGACATCGGTAACCGGGCGGGCGCCTCGGGGGCGGCAGCGGTCGAGGGCGGGGAGCGGCTCTGACCGCTCAGGGAAACCGCCGGGACGGGCAGCCAGTGGCGCGCAGGGCACGTTGGGAAATGCAGTCCCGCTGGGCGCGACGCACACTGCCTGGAGCGGGAGAGGGACTACGGCTCCCGGCGTGCGCCGCGGCGGGCTGGCGGAGCGGGACACGGCGGGAGTTGTGGTCCAGAGGCGCTCCCGTGGCGAGGCAGAGGGCGGGCAGTCGAACTACAAGTCCCAGCATGCCGCCGGGGGCTGCTAACGGGGCGGCCGGGGTGGTAAACAGGCTGGAGGGGCCAGCCGAGGAGAGCGGGGTGGGGCCCGTTGCGGGGGAGACGAAAGGGGGCCGGAGGACAGCAGCCTAGGAGAGGGGGCGACCCCGGGGAGGGGGCTAGGGGACGGGCCCCTCTGAGGGAGGCCTCCGCAGCGTCAAGGGAGAGGAGTGAAGGGGGTTAGCCCCCGTGAGGGGGGCCGGGCTGCCTCGGCGCGGGCGGGTGCGCGGTTCGGGAGAGCGGGCCTGGAGGCAGAACTTGGCGCACACATCAGGCTAACTCAGGCCTCGGCCCCAGGCTCCCACCCTGCGACCCAGGGTTCAAGCCCTGCTGCTTTTCGGTGTAGGTGCAGCCCCTCCGGACTTGTGCTCGGGGGCGTCCTTCAAAAGTAGTTGACGGGCCCAGGGGCTGACTTCCTTTGTCCTCTGGACAGTTAAGCTTGGTGGACGGTCAGGTTTCCCCATGCTGCCCCGCAGACAAAGGCTAGAGCGGTCACATTTTGAGAGGGTGCTAGGACGACTGGGATACGCCTGGTTGAACGCTGGGCCGCATAGATGCTGGAGCCCCAGGTTGAGCTGGGGGTTCAACTCTTCCTAACCTCAGATTAGAAGTGAGCGTAGGGGTACTCAAAACCTAGGCTGACAACCCCAAGGTCTGCTAATGCGAGTTGTACTAACCCTGAGCTTACATTGTAGACAAACTCTGACGCCGTTGTCTTCTACCCACCCCCTCAAAAAACACATTCAGGAGAAAGACATAGTATTGTTAGCTATGTCTTTTTTTCCTGATTTTCCTCCTGCTTTCCCCCTCCCTTTGCTTTAGGGAGAATGTAAGGACTGTGGGGGCGATGGTGGAGGAAAGGCTAATTTCTGAATTTATAATATGCCAGTAGCCTATCTATATTGACAGCTGGATGTGTGTGCATTTCCCACAGCCACCTAGGGAGATGGGATTTTTCCAGTGATGAGCTGCCAAAATCTTAACAACAAGGGGGTTGTTGCCCACCCCCGGCCCCTAGGACCCCTGTCCCATCCACCTCCCTCCTCTGTCCCCTGACTGCCCCCAGAACTGGGCAGGAGGGTCTCATGGGCCACCGTAGTGGGTGCCCACCCCACCCCTAAGAGCCAGAGGTACCTGCCAGGGGGTGAGGTGGGGAGTCCCGGCGGTGCTTACCTGGGGCAGCTCCCAGGAAGCATCTGGCAGGTCCCTCTGGCTCATAGGGGTGGGAGAACGTAGCTAGGGGGGGAGCAGGGGGAGCAGTCGCTCCCCCACTGATCACATCAAAAGTGGCACCTTAGGCACTGACTCCCTGGGTGCACTGGGGCTGAAGCACCCACGGGGAAAATTGGTGGGTGCAGAGCATCCACTGGCAGCTCCCCACCCTGTGCCCGGCCCCAGCTCACCTCACCTCCGCTCCACCTCCTCCCTTCAGCTGATTCGCTGCACCCACCAAATTTTCCCCTTGGGTGCTCCAGCCCCGGTGCACCCAGGCTGGAACACCCATGGAGTCGGTGCTTAAGGTGCCACTTTTGACCGGTTAAATTTAGAAGCCCTTTTAGAACCAGTTGTCCCTCGCAGAACAGCCAGTTCTAAAAGGGCTTCTAAATTTAACAACTGGTTCTAACAAACCGATGCGAACCGGCTCCAGCTCACCACTGGATATTTCTCTGTGAAAGTACCAATATGCACTGGTGAAAACCCAATGGGCATATACACAAAGGTCTTGACATCTTGGACCAAGGTGCATAGCATGTCACAATATAATCAAAAAATGAAAACAAACAAATGGGAAGATGAAACTACTATGTTACTTGTTGTGACACTGTTGAACCTTTATGCCAGGGAACAGAGGCTGAAGGGATAGATTTCCCCCAGCTTTTCATATTCCTTGCCAGCACTTGATCATTGCAAGAATGGCACAAAGGGAGACAGGATACTTCTCTAGGTGCAAGTGAAGCAGCTCAGGTTAAATTCCAAACTGGGAAAATAAAGCTAAAAGCAATTTAGCTAGATAGAGAATTGCAGTGCAAGGTAGATATCAAGAAATAACTTTGTACTTCTGCAGTGCCTTTCATCTAGGGATCTCAAAGTGCTTTACAAACACCACTTTAATTTCAAAGCATCCCTATCTTTTATATTTCCCTATTTTTAGAGGTTGGGAAGGTAAATGTACCTTCTCAGCAGAGATCCATCAAGCTTGTGTTGATCTCTGAATTTCTATTTTGAAGTTAAAACTAGGAGAAGGGTAAAAAGTTATTTTCTTATCAACTGGAAGTGACAGTTTCAGCTGATGCATCAGAATGGGACTTCAGAAGGTCTGAGGGTTATTAAGTTTCACTGCTTTTGTTACCATAAATGGTCATCATTGGTCTTGTGGAACTGACCATCATATGCTGCTTAATCTGTCTGGCACTCAGTGTCTCCTCTGTACTACTCTTCAAAAACAAAAAAACCCACTTTCCTCATTTGCCTAAATTACAAATCTTTAGTGCTGCAAATTTTAGTTTGCAGAAGCGTGACACTGAATTTACCAATGGGGGACGTGTGCAGTCCAGGAATCAGTTAGTGAAGCAGTATGATATGGCTTAGTGCATGCAGATTTTCACTTGGATTTTGGAAAAATCACAGGCTGTGTCTGAGAGATTTGGCAGTTCAGCATCCGGAACGCTGCTGTGGACCACAAGAGTGCATTGTATGTTTTCTAAGAGAAATGCAGATCTTAATAAGGGGACACCTCTCCAAATAGTTGGATGAGAGAGATAGGGTGGAGAATTAATTGTATAGTTATTTGCAAAACAGCAGCACGAGACCTAGAACCCTCCTAGGCTCTGTTCTAAGAGGAAAGGAGGCACTATCTTCCTTCAGGATCTGTGATTCTGAATGCCCTGATATGTTGTAGCCCTGTGTTGGCTACAACATATCACTGGCATCCTTCGGTGCAAGGTTTAAGATGTGTTTCTTTCTATGTAGGTGTGTGGGAGTGGAGGGAGGGAGTTATGTGATGTGTAGCCCATAACACCTTTTAAATAATATTTTCTACTTGCGGTTAAAATAGGGGTTTATTTTCCTCTCAGATTGCCCAGAGGCTTTTGGGCATTGGCTCCTGTAAATTAACATCTGTCCAAAAGTCAGAAGGTAAAATAAAATTATGAAGGAAACTGATGTACTAGTAGAGTGCTGGCTAAAGAGTTTTAAAAATTTGGTTCCAGTCACTGCTCAGATTTTGGTTCTCTGTGTGTGTTCTTGGTGATGCTGGGTTTCTTGGGGCATAGGCAATGCTGATCCATTTTAAAGACAATCAGTCAGCTCTGTGTGTGTGTTTGTGTTTGTGTTTTGGGTGGGGTTGTCAGAGTGGGTAATCCCTGTATGGGATGGTACTGGAGAAATAGAATTGCAAGAAGGTGTGTGATAGATAACCGAGAAGCCTTAAAGGTGAACTGAAGTCTACACATTATTTCACATTTACCAATGGGTTTGAAGCAAACCCTTTTGAAAGCACCACTTTTGCTTGTATGAAGTGAAGTGTTTGCCATACTCTGGATGACAACCGCACTAAATACTGGAAATGTAATCAACTAAAGCAAGAGAAACAGTTTTCATTTGAAAGCATATTTTTAAGGTGCCTATCAAAGTATTTCTGGGTAATGCAAAGCAACAAGCACTTACGACATTCTGATCAACAGCCTTAAGAAATTGTCATTGCTTTAAAACAAGTAGTCTTAAATTATTTTGGCAGTTATAAAATAGATTGAAAAAGTACTTTCCTAAGAACATTGTAATTATATTGCCTTTAATGCAATTCTATAAACTGTTGGCAAAAATGGCTTGGATACTTGTTAGTTTAAAAGCTTTGTTTTTTTAGACGTCTTCTACTCTGTCTAGCAAAGTCATAATTCTTGATGTACAACCTTAAAAATGATCACATTCAGTTTGAAAGCTTGATTTCATTACCTCCAGTAGAGAGCCTGTCTGTGCTAAGGGATTTTATTTCATGGGGGAAAGAAGCTTTCTTGAATCTTGGAGGGGCCGGAAGTTAAATTTCCAATCCTGCAATCATCTATTTATAATCACCTGAATAGCCCTTACTCAAGCAAGTAGTCTGTTTACATGCATACTGTGAGGTAACTAGGAAGTGAACTCATGACCTCTGTTCATCTTCAGCCACCCCAGCATCAGTTGGGCTTGAGTCCCTTCTGTGGAGCTTCTACCTTCACGCAATGCATCTGGATCTAGCTATGCCAAGACAGTCCCCAAATGACTGTCCTTTGGTTCACTGAATAAAGAGCTTTGCCTAATTAGCTCTGCTTGCAGCCAAGCCATTCTTAAAACTGTGCTAGGTAACTAATACGCAGAAGTATCTAAATTCTGTCTGACGCCTGAATCTGAGATGCATGATGTCTTGTTTTTGATAACAGGTGGGTCGTTAACCAAGTTGGCTTATTATTCAACTGTGCAGCATAAAGTAGCAAGAGTGAGATCTTTTGATCATTCTGGAAAGGTAAGAATTGCATTATATAGCAAACCAGAACCTCTAATGTGAGCAGGCATGAGAAAACAAAAAAAAATGGAAATTTGAAACAGGGCAGTTTTCCATAATATCAATTTTCAGATGGCACCAGGAATATCTATTATTTATATAGCACTATATATGTGCACGGTACTTCAGAGCACAGCTCTTGCCACGAGTTGCTCATGGTATTAAAGTCCAATCCTACAAACCCTTAATGGTTCCTGCTGTGAGGAGTCCCATTGACCTGAAGCACTGTAGTAAGGGTTTACAAGTTTGGACCCTAAATTAAGAGGCGTTAAAAACAAAATGGGAGGCTTAGCACAAGGAAGAATTGTTGGTAATGACAGTAAGGTTGTGTGCTCACGTGAGTGAGCAGTGCATGTACAGTATCTGAAATGAAAAACAAACCTAACATCTAAGCTTATAAGCCAATACTGAATTGGGTTTTGAGAAGGGATTTGGAGGAGGGTGGAAGTCAGGCTGCTGGGGGTCAAGAAGGAAATTCCAGGGCGATTGTCCTACCTGAGACCTTAAATTATCAATTACTGTTGTCCTGCATTATAGCTTGCAATGCGGAAATTTTTGAGTGTGCACCTAACCATTTGTAGATACTTGCATTTCAGGTTACGTGTGTGTGAGACCCTTGTTTTTGTTCACACCGATAGAGTTTGATTCAGTATTTCAGGTGAAACAACCATTTGGCCCAGGTGTGCCAGCTGACACTCCTATTTCATTGGGGAAGAGTTCTAGTCCCAAGCTCGCATGAAGAACACAGCATGATGCGTACTCAACAAAAACTTGTTAAAAGGACGTTACTAAGGCTGCTAAGTCAAGTTAGGAAATGCCAGATTTGAGATTGCACAGGCAGCCTTAACTTGGTCACCTTATGGATGTACATTATGATAGTATGTGATCACATAATCAGACTATTTTTTCCACATGATCCCTGCCTCGTTTGATTTCCCCCCCCCCCGATTCCCCTCCCAAGGCTGATAATTTGGACATATTTTCACAAGGATGGCAAAAGACGTTCCTGACACAAATTTCAAGTCCCCCTTTCAAAGTGGGGGGAGGGGGGGCAGGGAGAGAGTTTGTCTTACTGCAGCATTTGTGGGGTGGGAGGAAGCTTTCCTCCAACTGTTGGCTCTTTGACCATGGTATAGTTTGGCGCTCTTGTTTGACATGCTGTGTGAATAATAAATACCATTGGATGAGTAAGGCTAGTTACTTGGTTCTTAGAATAAAAAGGTAGGAGTCTTCTGAACCGATCTTTTGGTGTTGGCTCTCATGCATCAAACCAATGGTCATATATACTCTTCATGGGCTTGGATATTAAGGAATGCTTGACTCTATGCAGCTGATGTATGCAACATTAGGGTCGCCATCTTATATACAAAATACAAGACTGCTGAAGTTCTAAACTCAAGTTCTGTCTGGTACACTGGTGCTTTCTGTGTATGCCTGTGTAAAGATAGAGGAATGGGCATTCTCTATGAGTTAGTGTGTATTACAATTATATTATGTGAAGAAAATTGAGGGTGTTCGTGGGGAGGCTTTGGTAGCCATTAGGTAGTTGTTGCATGCATAGAAAATACAAATGGAAATATTCACTAGCTTACTGAATAATTAACTCTACTGCTCAGAAAAATGTCCTGACAAGTGAAGCCAAAAGAGAAATACTTACTCTGAATTTTTTAGGACATAGAACATGAATCTCCATATGAAATTACAGTTCAAGAGGAAATCACGGCTCGACTGCACTTCATTAAATTTGAGAACACTTACATTGAAACCTGCTTAGATTTCATTAAAGACCATCTTGTCAACACAGAAACTAAAGTGCTCAAAGCCACAGGGGGTGGTGCCTACAAATTCAAAGACCTCATTGAGAAGAAACTAGGACTGAAGTAAGTGGAAACTGGTTGAAAATCAAACTCTTTTTGAAAGATAAAATACTGTCACTAGTAAATGTTAGACTGTAGCCTTACGTGCTTGTACTGTAATCTTCTAGGATCTCATAAGCTTAGCAAGGCTGGGCTTGAATGGGTGACATCAAGGAATGTTGATGTGATTGTAATTCACTAGGAGATACTTGTCCCTCTGTGTTGGTACTGAATTTCCCCAGCATGTTGGTTGGGTGTGCTGTGCTGCCATACATGCCATCTTTCAGTTGACAAATAACGAAGGTCACTAAAGATCTGAAAATTTGACACAATAGGGGTCTTACCCTCAGGGTCCTGGCTAAACTCCAGCATTGTTAATATATTCTGCTTCCCTAAAACTCTCCCTGCGGTTTCAGCTGCATATGGTAATCTTACCTCTGTGTCCTAAACACTATGTAGTGTAACTCTGATGTTAGACAGTTCAACTCTTATCTCAGAGGTGGCTGCATTTCAGTGGTGGGCAAGTGATTCTCCATCAGTTTCTAAAGTGCTTTGGATTCATTTTGAGGAGAGTTCCTATGGAAACCATCATTCCTATCTCTGGAATACCTATCACAGTGGATTCAAAATTCAAAGCACTATATAAATGCTATCAGTTCTTTAACAACAGGAATTGCAAAGCTCTGGAATCTTTAGCCTGTAACTATTGTATTTTCTCATGTCAATATTTTTCTGTACATAACAAATCTACATAGACTGTGTCCAAAATCATAAGCCATTAAAAGTCATGATTGTTGATTTCTGTTTTCCTGCCAAGTGTTGTTGGATGTGTGTGGAAAAAAGGTAATTTTTAAAAGGGCATATTGTCTTTAGGATTATTCTGTTTATAAGTGTGTGTGTTTTCTCTTCAGGGTGGATAAAGAAGATGTAATGACTTGCCTAATTAAAGGGTGTAACTTTGTGTTAAAAAATATACCCCATGAGGTGTTTGCATACCAGAAAGATTCAGATACGGAATTCCGATTTCAGACAAATCATCCAAATATTTTCCCTTATTTGCTAGTCAATATTGGCTCTGGGGTTTCTATAGTGAAGGTGAGTAAGCCATTAGACTATTTCATTTAGTGTGTGTGGGGAGAGCGGGAGGGTTGTGTCCTCAAACTGATGAACGGTAGTCATCTAGATCTACATGTAAGACTGTCAGATTGATGTTTGTTTCCTTTCTGGGTTATCAAATTTTAAACAAAAAGACCCAAACCACAACCACACATGTTGACTTCCATTTCTTAATATACGTTTTACCTGCTTTTCCACTGCACTACCATCTGTCCCCTTTTAGTTGGATAATGCTGTGCTTAAAGAGGCTAGTGTAATACTGCAGCTGCAAATGACAAATACAAAAACACACTTTTGGCAGCCACTTATGGATAAATGCTTAGGGCTGGTCCACACTGGGAAACTACATCATCATCATGTCATGTCTCTGGGGTGTGAGGTGGATTACCTTTTCTGAAGAGAGAACCCCCTCCTGTCAGTGGAGGTAGTGTTTACACTGAAGCAGTACAGTTGCACTGTGGTAGCATTTCTAGGGTAGAAAAGCCTTTAGTCTTCAGATGGATGCTCTGAGCAGAAGAAGAATGCCTGCCTTAAACTTCTTTGCCGGAACTTCTCAGTATATAAAGTGGGTATGGGGGGTGGCAGTGCTTCCCTGCTTCAGAAGTTTTAGAGGACTGGTTATGATCGAAAGCACTGTACGTTGTATTAGTGACTAACAATTTCCAACTCTCGGCATGTGACAAGGGTTGTGTTGTCATAGTTAATATCCTCTAAATTAAATCTAGTAACTATCCTATGCACATCTGTAGTGGCTAAAATCATGCTCAGTCCATTAAAGCAACTCTTTCTGTAAAAGCATGTCTGTAGTTCTAATCCCTAAGCAGTCTGGGTTAAAGAAAAAGCTATATGGTAACCAGTGGGCCAGATACAGAGTGAGAGATTATAGAAGCAATGTAGGATTTCAAAGTATAACTTGGATATGTAACAAAGGCAAGGAATCTCAGCTTATAGATAACTTATTGTATTTTTGTAACTATTGTGGTAGAAGTACCCAAAGGCCTCAATTAAGATTGTGCTGTGATCTGTACGAATATGTTCAACAAGTGGGTAGGTCTACATTGCAATACAATACCAGTGGCTGGCCCACGTCAGCTGGCTGGAGCCTGAACATCTACACTGCAATTCTATAGTCCCATGAGCCTGAGACAGCTGACTTGGGCCAGCTGCAGGTATTGTATTGCAGCGCAGACATACCCAGTTCTTATAATCTAAAGACAAGGACGCTACAAATTCTTTACATAAGAGAATTTTGCCATTGAAATGCTGCCACCTCTGTTGGAGTGTGGCAGCCAAGTGGACAGCTGGCACACTGAACATATGGGGAGAAGAAGGGAGGAAATTTCGGCCAGGGCTCTTAAGCAAATCCCTACTCTTACATCAGATACTGTGAGATGTTGGTTTGTCCATAGAGCAGAAAGGACTTCCGACTTCTAAGGAGTCATCCTGAAGACCATAAACTGAATTTCATGCAGCAAGTCTGTAGCTGAAGATAAAGGGCTAAATGGATCCTACCGAGATTGGATCATGTAGTTCCATGGAGTCTATATATTTCATACCTGATATTTAGATCATTAAGCAGCCCTGTTAACAGCATTTATTCATACTGTTTGCATCCTTTCCATTTTTTGGAGTCCATATGTTAATCGGTTTATAAGTGTGTTGTGTATGTATTCATACTTATATCCATGATTGATTGTTAAACTTGTGTTTGACTCATAGGTGGAAACAGAGGACAAATTTGAATGGATTGGAGGGAGTTCAATCGGAGGGGGAACCTTCTGGGGTCTAGGAGCTTTACTCACAAAAACAAAGGTATTTGACAGTTGCACTTAAAGTAGAATGGGGAAATACAGGGGCCTTCAGTTGTGTTGCTCTTTAGAAACGAGAAACAAACAATCTGGTGGAGAATTATGATTTCTAACGTTACAGATTAAGGATCACTATTCTGCCACAGAATTTTTTTTAAAATGGCCATTAATGCACTATGTAGCTTATTTTTATATTTTCTGTTAAATGCTCTTTTGTTCCCTCTTGTCTCTGCTGCTACTATTAAACAACAAACCTGGGCCCCTGAGCTGTGATAATATCCTTTGTGATACTGGTGCATAAATCCAAGCAATAAACCAAAAAAAGCCCCATTAGAAACACAGAGGACAAAGCAATAAAGAAATACCTGTCAAGTGGGCAAAAGGCTGAGGCTGCCTGGGATAGAGGATTTTTTTTTTTTTTTTTTTTTTTTTACAGCTTCTAGGATTGCATGGAGAGGGTGCAGTGTACAATTCCCTTTTATTCTTGAAGGGTCTTTTCCCCTCACTGTGTACAGTTTGAGTAGTCTGCTCCATGTTACCTGTTTTTCTGTGCCCTGTGTTCCAACATGATTGAGCTGCTCACGCCTTGAGATCTGATCTCCAGGTTCAGTTTCAGTCTAAAGTCCTGAAGAGTAGCAAAGTAGAGAGCCTGAGTATTGCAGTATATCTGAGGCAAGAGGGGTAGCTCAGTTCCTGTTGCATTTTAGGGGATTTGTATGTTCAGAGACCAGAAGGCCAATTGCCAGTCCACAGCCTAACCTGGTACTGCTGTGTTTTAACTCAACCGTTTAAATCATGTGGTTTTTCTGTGTCCCAAGATGCATGTGACTGTAAATGTTAGCTTATACAGGAGGAGATACTGTTACATATGAACCTGTCAAAAGGTCAAAGGGAAGAGTCTATATTAGCAGTGTTTTGTCAGATACATTTATTAGTCTCAGAGCAGAGCTTCACAAGTTCTCTTTTACTGGACTTGGTGGAGTAACATGTCTAGACTTCTAACAGAGTTTATAGCTGAACTGTAAGCAGTGGGGGAGCCCAGAAAGGCAGGACTAGTCTGCTGCTAGGTTTATTTTATTTTGGTGCTTCCTTTTAATAGCTCTCTGTAGCTGGACAGACAGCCTCTTTTATAGTTTTACTTTTTGAACTAAAATACCTCTGAGACATAATCCCACTTCATCCTATAACTAAGCCCACTTGGCCTCCCATCCTGAGTAGATGATCGGTATGCTGCCTATGTGGCAGGCTCTGGCTGGAATTCTATTCATGCTGATACCTGAAAGGTTGCTAGGCTACACCAACAATCTCTAGTAACAAGGAAAGGAATGGAATCAACGGCTGAGTATTAAGAAGTTGATCCAGAGTAGCTCTTGTGAGCTTCACTACAGTTTACTTACTGGGTATCTGGCTGGTGAATCTTGGACTGGAAGAGACCCTGGAAGTTTTTCGCCTTCCTTTGTAGCATGGGGCATGGGTCACTTGCTGGAGGATTCTCTGCTCCTTGAAGTCTTTAAACCACGATTGGAGGACTTCAATAGCTCAGACATAGGTGAGAGGTTTTTCGCAGGAGTGGGTGGTGAGATTGTGGCCGGCGTTGTGCAGGAGGTCAGACTAGATGATCATAATGGTCCCTTCTGACCTTAAAGTCTATGAATCTGTGAAACATGTTATCCCTGTAATCAGGGTGAGGTGAAGGATACTGAGCTAAGGCTTTTTGCTAATCTGCTTCTTGAAACATAGAATCCAAAGTATCTAGGGATACTGGGTCACATTCTATTTATATATGCCTATGGAACCCTATTTGAATTCTGAGCCATTCATGGGAGTTGTTTGGGTGAAAGGTACATATTTGTCTCATTTCGCACCATGCTAGTCTAGGATGGAGTTCTCCACCAGAGAGCAGCAATACCCTAAGGGGTTGCAAGCAATAAACTTGGAGGACACTCGCACATTCCTCATTTCCAGTCTTCAGGAGGAACATCTTTCAACCAGTTACTTGCATATCTTGGTCACTTGATCACTTGGTCATCTGAGGTCTGATTCAGAGAGGAGTGGTTACAATAGGAGATTCTGAAGCTCTGCTCTAAGATTAGGGTGGGTAGTCAGTCCCTGTGATATGAAATACAAGGAATGCCTGTTTGGTGGGGGCTGGGTTTTTTTGAATGACTAGTCTTACTAAGAGTTCTGCAGAAGTTTGAGATTCAGACAAAATTATCTGGCCATCCAGAAAACCTGGAGTAACACTGTTCGTTTGCTTTTCTTCCTCAGAAATTTGATGAATTGCTGCAGCTTGCTTCAAAGGGACAGCATACAAATGTCGACATGCTGGTGAAAGATGTGTATGGTGGGGCCTACCAGACACTGGGGTTAAGTGGAAATCTAATAGCCAGCAGCTTTGGGAAATCTGCCACAGCAGATAAAGGTACCAACACAGGGCAGGGGGAGGAGTCTGCCCAAGTTTTGCTGTACAGATCATACTATATTTTGCCTATTGCCCATTTTACTTTAGTATGCTGATTGTGTGAATATTTGTGACACTTTCAAATACTGAAAGGATGAGAATGTCCACTTGGGCATGATTCAACCATTTTTAATGTATTTTATTATTTCTTTCTTTAGAATTTTCTAAAGATGATATGGCAAAGAGTTTACTGCACATGATCAGTAATGACATTGGACAGCTTGCCTGCCTCTATGCTAAACTCCATAACCTACACAAAATTTACTTCGGAGGATTCTTCATTCGGGGTCACCCAGTCACTATGCGCACAATCACCTACAGTATTAACTTCTTCTCCAAGGTAATAAAAACTAAGCTCTCAGGAACACTAGAACAAGTCTTGGGTACCTTTCCCAATTTGCTGGAAGACCTTAAGATAGTTGTTTTCAAGTGTACCAAGTTGGCAGCATGATCAAAGTAATGCAGTGAATCTGTAACACATGATTATTAATAATGAATGGCCACTGACTAGGGCCATCCTTTACTAAAGGTCAAGTACTGCTATAAAGATCAATTGCAAATAGTTATGCAGAGTAGTTGTCTGTGGGTTTTCTAACCATCTCAGTTGTCCTGTGGCTGCTTAGCATTGATCCTTTCAATTTTCCTCGCATGCTACCATGATTATTCAATTCCTCTTGTTAAACTTCACATTCCCTTGTCAAGTTCAGTGTGGGATTGTTCTTCTAAGATAAAACCTGCAACTGATACCAGCTTTAAAAAATACCAACTGCCATTCCTTCTAAAATAGCTATCTGAAATCATTTCAAAGTGTAATTTTCCCCTTTACAGAGGCTTTCCCTAGTTCCAAAGTTTTGTGAACTGAGTGTGTGGGTGAAATCCAAAGCCAAGAGCTGGTTTTAGATCTGTTGGTTTGCCAGAGTGGGAACTGGTCTACATGTGTGGTGGCTTTATAAACTTAATAGTATTTGGACCCCGTAGGCATCAATGTTTAGATTTTTTCATTCTCAACTCAACCCTCCAGGGTTGGGTCTCTGGATCTTTTTTCAGTTTCTCTCTGATCTCCCTTTGTCATACCCCTACAATGCCTTTTTATAGACTAGCTGAAAGCTTTAGGAAACTTCCTCCACTTGTGTAAGTGAGTTGTGAAGTCATTGCTGGTCTTTTGCTGTACCCCACGCAAAACATTCTTTTGTGAGCTCCTTTAGGTGGGAGCTGATTTTGCCCCCCTCTCTCCCTCCCAGTTTCCACAAAATTTCTGATTGCCTAGGAAGGTGAGGGGATTGGTGGATAATGGGTACACCTCCTTAGCACGAAGATTCCCGCATTGTATTGCGGAGGTCTTGCTTTCTGGTGTTGACGAGTGAATATCTCCCTGACTGGTTTAACAAAGTGTGTGTGCATGTGCAGGTGTATTGGCTCTCTCCATTTGCATGGACATTCCAGTGTGTGCTTGGATCTTGAGCCAGTGCGACGTGAGAGGGAGTGAAGTAGAGGAAGGAAACGAGTGTCATGGTTTAGAACATTTGAGAGATGCACTGCCAAACATGAATGAATGTGCCAAATGCCGCGACATTAATAGCACTTTTCCATGGGAAGTTGCAGTAGCTTTCTATACTGAAGCAGAGGCTAATTACACTTCCAGGATTATTCAGTCTTAGAACAAACTGCATATTCCTCTTTGCATGTTCCCTGGCTGTCTCATAATCCTGGGCAGGTAGGTGTAAGTAGCACATGCTGAAAAGACATGTTTCAAACATGCCTCCTACAGCACCATTTGAAATTATTGAAGTGTGTTGGAATGTAGCATGGATACAATAAAATATTCTAGCTGGTTTATCTGTGTTAAGTGTAAATTAGTGACAAAGTACATGTTAGCAATCAGGGGCCATCCAAATGCAATGTTTCATATTGTGGCAGGGAGAGGTTCAGGCATTGTTCCTGAGACATGAAGGCTACCTGGGAGCCATTGGGGCATTTTTAAAAGGAGCTGAACAAGACAGTAAGTACAGCATCACTATGTTCTGTATATGCAGTGTTCTGAAATGTCAGTATCAGTCCAAGGTTCTTTCACGGGGCTGCATGTAAATCATTGGTTAATCAAATACGTTTGCCATTAACAGCACAGATTTATTTTGTAAACGCTTATTTTCTTCTGGCAAGGAGCTCTCTATTTACTCCACTTCCTTGCTACACTTTGAGGAGCCTGGAAGATTTGCTTCTTCTCTTCCCAATCCCCCGCATGACTGTGCCAAGAACAACCTCCTCTCTAAAGGCAGAGGGAGAAGCCAGGCTTCTGATTTCTCTCTGCTCCAGAGAGGACAGTTTCTGAATATGGCCAGTGTGTTAGTGTAGAAATAATGGAATTATGAAATTGCATTCTTTTGCCCATAAAAACGCCTCAATAATTGGAGAGCACATATCTGCTCCTAGCATTCTTCAGTTACAGGTTGTTTTTGCTGAGTATAGAGCTGTGGTGCTGCACTCTCTGATTAGTCACTACTATTTGTAGTTGCTGTATGGCCAAGCCACTCAGTTTGTGTTAGGGTGGGAACAGAACCAGATAGATTGGGGTTAATAAAACTTCTCCTTACTTATCCAGTGACGTCTGCATTCACAGAAATTATTAAGCCTCATAATAGTCCTGTAAAGCAGGAAATTTTCATACCCATTTTACAGAGATGGAAAACTAAGGTCCTAAGAAGCTATGTAAATTGGTGGAGGTTCTGTAGGTGTGGGAAGAGTAACTAGGAATCCCTGCAACACAAGGCATTCTTCTTCTGTAGCTGTATATCCTACACTCTGACTAGTGCATTTTTTTTAATTTATCAAAAGAGCCAATTCTTCCTAGAAATAGCTGTAAAGAGTTTATTAAACTAATTGGTTGCAATGCATTCTTAATAAGAACTTTAATAGCTCTAAAGACGAAGATGTACTAGGTTTGGAAATAAAAATAGGGGCTTGGAGATAATTCCAGAAGGGGGGGAAAAAAAAAATGTATTCTCTTGACAGAACACCCCCCCCCCCCCGCTTTTTTTTTTTAAAGTTTACTTTACTAAAAAGTGATGAAGTGATCATTTCTGAAACTTAAGGTTTCTTGCCCCTCCCCGAATTCAGTAAATAAGAAGCCCCAAATTACTAGTTAACTGGATGGTTGAGTAACTGCACTTTTTAAAAAACATTTATTTCCATGGCTATTTGTCTTTATTTAAAACCTAAACAGAGGCATATAGACATTAAAATCACTTGTGGTATAGACTGTCTTACTTTCAGTTTATGGCATCTCTGTCTTTGTTCCTCCAGATCCCAACCAGTACAGTTGGGGAGAGAATTATGCTGGGAGTTCTGGCCTTATGAGCACTTCACCCGATCTCTGCCCCATGCAACGTGCAAGGAGTGGAACGGTAAGTTACTGTCTTTCTAGGACCACAAGCTGTCTTCCCTGAGAGATCATTTGGAACCCTCATGGGACTTCAGGACTGTAATAAAACTATCAAACTCCTAACTACCTTCCCTGCACACACTCCTCCCCATCTTAAATTATAGTTCAAGATCCCAAGTAAATAATTTGTAGCCTGATTTCTCACCCTGCCCGAAGAAAGTTAACCATCAACTGGGTGTCAGTCTTGTCATCACAGTTGTTAAGACTGCACATGCAAATCAGTTGTGTATGCAAATGAGTCCCAACAGTTGTGCATGCAGTGTTGCATGTGCAGTCGGTAATCTGTATCTTGAAAACAGAGCCCAACATTTGCAAGTCAATGTTTTAAAACCAACTAAGTGAAAAATCAGATCTTCAATTAGACCTGCAAAAACCAGTGTTTGTGTTTGTGTTTCTTCTGTAGCCATTGCTACAGCTCATGCCTAAAGCAGTAGAAGGAGTACACTGAACTATTTCAGATGTTAGTAATGTCCATATGACTCATAAGCTTGATTTTGAGTCTCAACAGGTGGAAAACCTGTCTGTATGCGGTGTACTCTTTCTCCAGGGAATGGTGGTAGAATTCTTTAGTAAAGAAGCCGCAGTCAATGTTAATTTTGAAGTAAAGAACACTTTTGACTTGTATGATTTACACTCAATCTTGGATAACATTTTAGAAGAATATTTAAATAAAAAAAATCTGGGAATTCACACACACGAGATTCTTGTTGCCTATTGCTGTACCTAGATAAGGAGTAGCATATACACAATAGTGCTCAGAGGCTGTATGTAAAACCACTGAAATACTTGAGCGCTCAGTTTCTAAGCTTCCTAGTTCTTATTTGACATGGCAAAAAATTTAAAGTAGGTGTCCAAGTTGTACATATCATACGTAGGTGAGAACAGGTAACTGTGTGTGCATAATATGCAGTTCATTTGCAAAAATAAATCTATGCACTTTGCTAGCTTTTTTTTAACTGTGCAACAGAATATTTGTACATGTGGAATTAACTGCTTGTGTGTTGCCTGTTAAACATTTGACCCTCAGTGTTGTTTTTCTATAAGTTTAAGGGCTGTGGGGGAAGGGCAGCAAACAGGAATGTGTGAACTGAAATGGAGGGGGAAATATCATTTTAATAAAGTGAAAGCTGTGTGCTTGAATACTCCCTTCAGAATGATCCCACCTCTCGTTTTACCAGGAAACTTGTGGGAAGGGGAAAGAAATAGGGAGATTATAAGAAGCTTTTTTTTATTTATGAAAACTCCTAAGATGTCAAGGCAAAGCTTTGACAATTGTGGAAACATTCTTTACCATACTCTATGCACACTCTAAGGCAGCTGTCCACTAAGCTGTAACTTCTGTGAGCTAGTCCCATTACAAATCAATCTTACTGGACCAGCCTGTTTCTGAGTTAATTTAATTGAGAAGTCTAATACCTTTATTTTTCCCCCATCACTTCCCAGTTTGACATGTTCGAAATGGATCGGTTGGAGCGACCGCTTGTTAACCTACCCTTGCTAAAGGACCCATCCACATACATCCCTGACACTGTTGACCTCACTGATGATGCCATGGCCAGGAAATACTGGCTCACTTGCTTTGAGGAGGCTTTGGATGGGGTAAGGGTCACAATGCAGTAATGTGTGTCTAAATAGTTTCATGACTTGGCAAATAGATTTTTCTGTGGGCTGACATGGATGAGCTCAAACTGCTAACTTGAGCACATAGTTACACTTGGTGGATAATGGAGCCTTCTCTCTAGGAAATCTTATAGGTGCATTGGTGGAGGTTCTCTGGACACTCTTACCTCAGCATAGCTGGAATTTTTTTTTTCTTGTGACCTTTTTTGAATGGTTTCTAAACAATAAAATGCTCCCTGTTTAAAAAAAAAAACAAACAAACAAACAGAGGGCAAAGATGATCATGCCTAAAGGGCCAAATCCTGCTGTCCTTATTCTTTTAAGCAGTCCCGCTGACTGCAGTGGAACTACTGGTGTGAGTCAGATGAATACAGTTTGGCCTAACTTAAACAATTCACATGATTGTCATGCTCTTCAAGGATTCTGTGTTTATAAATCACTCCTGAATTCCTGTATCCATAGTAAGCAAACCCATCCAAAGAATTTATTGGATATAAAAACAATTGACTAACCCGCATCTTAACTAAAGAGCGGATGATTTGAACTTTATTGTAGCAGACTGGTAGAATACTGTATCAGATGCTTCTAGCTTTTGGGATTATCTGGAATGCCCCCCCCCCCTCCCCCACCTGTATTATTCAAACAATAGTAAGCACTTATTTTTAGATGCCTGTTTCCTCTCTGATTGCATATCCTTCAACCTACGACTTGAATCTGGGGGGAAAACCTCAAGTCTAAAGTTCTTTGGCATTGACACACTGAACATTACAGAAGACAGAACAAATATTTCTAAGCCTGAACTTCAGCCATTGAGACTGTTGCATTACCCATCATGTGAGGGTAGAAGCATTTGGTATCTCCAATCCAGCCTCCTTGTTTCTCTGCCAGGTAGTGAATCGTGCTATGATCAGTCAGCCAGACTCTATGGATGCAGCTGAGCGAGCTGAAAAGTTCCGACAGAAGTATTGGAATAAGCTTCAGACACTCAGACAGCAGCCTTTGTAAGTGTGGGCTTTTTCCAGTGAGCACAGTTAACTTAGATGTGAATTAGTAAATGTATGTTTAATATGCATTTGTTAGCAAGTAGCTCACTTTTGTAATTCTTTGTTCCCTACATGTTACATTTAGGTCATATGCATAAGAAATAAAAAGTTAAAACTACTGCTTTTATAGGTTCCTACCCCAGAGTGAGCCCCATGCATACAGAGGTGACTCACCAGCTGGTGCCCTCTCATGGTTGGGTGCAGCATTGCTGGGCCTTCTGCTTGGTTGCCTCCTCCTGATGGCTGTTCAGACCCTTTGTTGGTCTGGCTGAATGACTTGGCCCTCCGGCCAGCTCACACTTAAGAGTTCAGTCCCTTTCTGGGGAACCCAAATCCAGTTGTAACTTGTCAAGCCCCCATTTGGCTTCTCTTGGCTGGCCTATTCAACATCCCTTCACCTGGCACCTCTGTGAGCCAGCACCAAAGTCCTTCCAACTCAAACAGAATTTAACAGATTGACACTCTTCTGTCAATCTCTGGGGACCACTCAGTAGAACTCAAAACAACAAACAAAGCTAACTTAAGCATATTTAACCCCTCTCCAGGCTTGAGCCTCTCATCCTTCTCAAGTTCCTCTTGAGCCCACGGATTGTCTCCCTGGAGCTTGGCCTATTTTTCCAGTGACACCCTACAGGAGTTAGCTCTCCAGCTGCAATCCAACTGCCATCCCCCTGATGGCTGGGCTTCCTCCCTTTTTAAGTCCTACATCCTGCACAGGTGTGGTGAGGTGGGGCTATCTGAACACACTGGCTAGCCTGGGGGTTCCTTACCCTTAAAGAGGCAGGCCACCCTGTTACAGATGCATATTGGAAGAAATTGGGTTTGTTTTTTTATATAGGGTGCTCAGACTCATTAGTAGGAAACAAAATATTTCTACATCCCAAGTAATCAAAACGACAACTGTCTCCTAGAGTAGGAATCAACATTCCATTGTATGTCCATAAGTAAAGCTTGCTGTAGGCCCCCATTTTTTATGATCTTGGCCCGTATTAAGAGTAGACTATGGACTGATACATTACCTCTTAAAGTATGAAAAATAAGATTAAGGACCTCTCTAGATTCAGATGTCCAGCTAATCATTACTGTGTCTCATTCTAGCTAATTGTGCTTGCACAAACTGCCGTGGACAAGCTTATGTATGGTAGCCTTTTATATTGTAGTACCTTCCTAGCCTCAGAGGTGCCTGTGCTCCTGGTTAACCATATTGATTTGACCACAATTACTAGAACTTAACAAAGACATTTTAATTTTTATTGCACAGTAAAACTTGATGGTCTAGATATGGCAATGATCCTAGAAGTAGTAATTAGAATAGTTTAATGGACAGTTTCTTGGTCAAAACTTCACTATCCTTGCCACTTTAAAATAGGACTTTTCTCACTGGAGTAAAAGAAGCCTGTGTGTAATAGTCAACCCTGCTTTAGATGCTCAGATACAATAGTGACTGATGTCATGAATCTAGGGTATAGTGAAGTGGCACCTGTATTACATCTGGGTCAGTTTACAGAATCAGATTCTGAAGATGGTGGGCATGGGGAGAGAACCAGTTCTTCCTCCACTGTCTGAAGCAGCTGATCCTCCATTCTCACTCTTTCTTTCAGTGCCTACGGCACCTTAACAGTTAGAAGTTTGTTGGATACGCGGGAACATTGTCTAAATGAATTCAACTTTCCAGATCCCTATTCAAAGGTAAGTCCTTCTTGCTTTACAGGGTGGACAAAAATGTAAGTTCAAGATATTTTTGGTTCCTCTCAAACTTGATGTAGGTAGGTAGTTGCTCATGGTGAGGAGGTGGGGACTGGATAGCTTAAGGCAGAGTTTCTCAGCTGGTGGGTCGCTACCCCCAGGGGTCATGAAAGGCAATCAGGGTGATTGCAAGGCATTGAACATTTTTGTTACAATCTAAACTAAAGAAAATCTTGTTCCCCTATTCCCAGCACACCTTTACCCTTTTAAATCAAATATTTTGTTAACCTCTCAGAATACAAATTATATAGTCTAATCATTATCATTGGGATTTTTTTACTGTTACATTTATAGTAAATATAAGGGGGATGCATGCATTTTGCAAGGCTGATTATCATGGGGATGCCTTTGCTTAGGGTTGTTTTAGTTTGTTTTGTTTTTTTTGTTCTTGATGGCTCACTTGACACTACTTCTTCCTGCTGGCCAAGATCCATTGTCCTGTCACTGTCTTGAAAAGAAACAATAGCAATTTGTGCTCTTTTTCTAGCATTAATGCAGTTATTAGCAGCCAAGGAGATATTTTATTTTTACTTGTTCATACTAAGCATGCTGATAACAGTAACTTGTTGGTCCATTAGAGGCCATGAACCTAGAGGAGAATGCTTGGAGGTGGTCTTGGCACTGAGGCAACCAATGATGGGTAAGAATTTTTCATCTATAAATCCAATGTCTCATATCTTTCTTACAGGTAAAGCAGAAAGAAAATGGCATAGCGTTAAAATGTTTTCCAAGCGTAATCGAATCTTTGGATTCATTAGGCTGGGAGGAGAGGCAGTTTGCTCTGGTGAAAGGACTTCTTGCGGGGAATGTCTTTGACTGGGGAGCAAAAGCAGTCTCAGAGTAGGTGCTAAATATTTTAAAAACACCATTTTTAAGACACTAAATATCCCATCTTTCTTTTAACAAATTCAAGTGCACCAATCCAATTTTAATGGAATAGTTTGTATGTCACCTTCTTCAAATGCTGGTTGTTTATTTGCAAGACTTGTGGTGCTGCGGGAAATTCACCATTACCAACCCTTAAAACGGGCAGATGTCACTATGAATGTTTGAATGAAGTAGTAATAATACAGAGGTTCACATTTGAAAGTTTGCGCACTTCGCTTGTAGTGGACATCTTTAGCACTGTTTTGGATATGTGTTCCACTTAGCTTGGCATTATGTTCCTGTAAGATGAATGTGTACTTCCCACTGTTATTCTGTGCTGTCCTAGTACCCTGTATTACGTGTTCACTCGGTAGTTTGTAATTAGGGATGGCTGAACGAGTTTGGATAGAATGGGAATCTACCAATACTTTGCTCAGACTAAATCTTTATCTGGAAAACTTTTATTAAACTCTCCCACACAAATGAATTCCTCGTTCCTGTCAGCACTAGATACCTGAATACCCGCATTCTCACAGTATCTCAGGGTTAGCTGCCTTAAACCCAGGGAGTCTGACTTCTGGGAGATGCGCATACAAAACGCCCCTTTAAAACCAACAGGAGGTGACCTTGTGCACCTGCCAGGATGATTTGGCTCTTTGGCTTTCTGTATAAGCTTGTTATACTGGTATAGACCCCTTCCAGAAAACACTCTTTGGAAAGCACTTTAAACAGGCTTGTATTATGTGAATGTTTCCATGGCCAATCCGATTTTAGCCTAGTAAGTCACAGAATTTCAGTTCCTAAAATGACCAACTGTAGTTACTAATATAGATCTGGTCACCCACCTATTCATCAGTGCATGTTCTCTTCCCTCAGAGGAGAGGATTAAGGGAAGATGTCCAAGTTAATGGCATTCACAACTGGCTCAAGGAATTTTATCTCGGTGGGAATTGATTTGCAGGCAATACCTACGCATCTAATGGGAATGGGGAAGGGGTCAAGGATGGTGGAGAAACCCAGCAGAGCTCTGCAACATTTCACTGCTGATCACTTGAAATTAAACCAGGCCATCATATTCGCATCATCCACACCACCATTTAACTGTGGTGGAGGTTTTTGCTTAAAATGTCTAGCTGATGGGGAAGTCTGCAATATGTTGTCAACCAGTTTAACTTTAAAATGGCTTTGTTTAAAAGTTTGACAAAATGCTCAATACCAATTCTACTGTCATCTTCAAATTAAACAAGGCAAATTACTGCTTCCTGTACAAAAATATCCAAAGCTTGTCTTGCAGTTTGTCATGATTATATATAAATCATAACTATGTTTACATGAGAATATAGGTGCTACCATTCGATGCTTTCCCTAGAACCTATTGTTTGTGCCTGTACGTTTTTACATGGTGCTGGCAGCTCTTTCCTTTGAACATAAGAGTTCTTCTTGTTTAAAACCTCTGAATTTTTTGTTTATAAAAATAATATAAAGCACCTATTGTTCAGCCAGTGGATCTCTGCACACCCCCACTAAAACTGATGCTATAAAACCCCCATCTGATATTTTGTTTGTTCAGCTGCAGAGCTGTTTATCCCACATAGATGCCCTGTCCAAACTTGTTTAATGCTGTCCTGTTCGTCTTTCTTCCGATGCAGCGTTTTGGAATCTGAGCCACAATTTGGATTTGAAGAAGCCAAGGAAAAATTGCAAGGTATAGAGAATCATTCTGTGGCATCTTGCCTGTGCGTGTTAATATAAGAATGGAGGTGGGCAAGAAAGTGTCTAGTGGGAGAGAGTTCTTCTACCAAGGAAGGTCACATGAAATAAATGGTGTCTAGTCTTTATTCCAGATGACTATGCTACAGTACTTCACTGAATTGCTGCTCTCTGAATTCCAAAGATGTCAGGGCCCCATTTCCTCTTAGTCCAGAACATGTAAGATTTTTTTTTTTTCCAGTGAGCAAAAAGGCTCCAGTGAACACTCTGCCTGAATGTCAACCGTCTTTTCCTGCCTGCTATTCTAAATATACCTCCTGCTTAGCAACACCAAATAGAAAGTAGTCATCCTATGAGGGGTAACAGTGTGTCACTGGAGACACTGACTCTAATCTCTTATGACTTGTTCTGTATTCTTTATCAAGTGCTATTTCAGGGAAACTAACTGATCTGCTTTCACAGTTAAGAGCCCAAGAATTCTTTGAACCTACAAATCTAATATTATAGCATCGTCCAGAGCTCAAATGTTTTAATGTTAAAGCAGATATATATAAACCTGACCTGCCTTTTCATAAGTACTTGTTCTAACAATGCTTACAAAGATTGCCATGGGAAAAATGCTAACCACCTGATTTTGTCAACTCTACAGAGCGCCCGTGGCTAGAAGATTCCTACAGTGAGTGGATACAACGACTAAAGGTATGCTTGGTCCATTGTGGCTTTAACTATTCACTTAGATTTATGCAATAGTCATAAAAATTACTCTGATCACCTTTTGAGTTGCATAATGCAATCACTGTCTCAGGTGTAAATTTCCATCTTAAAAAAAAAAAAAAAGAAATCCTCAAGCTCTGTAATTACTGATCAAATTTGCATTTTGTGATCGTGTTTATTAAAGTGGAAAACATATTACTTGCCTTCTATAACTTAAAAACCCCGAAACAAAGGTTTGTTACTCCTCATCAAAACCTCAATCAGGGTTTAACGAAAATACTTTAAGCAGCATGAATTGCAGTACCATAAGACTGGTTTTAAAGTTTTCATAGCCTAAGAATTGGAGTGAATTGAAGGGGAGTGGGACTAGGCAATAAGCTTTTCATTTTAGTTGCCTAGTACTAAGGCAGCCCAGATCAGTGGCGACAATGGAGTAGTTAATGTCTCTGGCTGTTCCATAGCCTCAGTTGGTGTTGATGAGACAAACTGCCACAGTTCACTTTAGTTGACAGGCCTAGGATTAATTGATCAGAGTTTGAAGATGCTACCTCTAAGGGAATAGGGTAGTTCAAGGCTACTTTAAACCTCGTTGGCAGGACTATGTTGTGGAAATCTTGCTCTGCTTGTACTATGGATAGGGCTTCTGTTTCCAGCAGTGTCAGTATAGCCTTCTTCACCAGCAGGAGAGCTGAGCTGCTTCCAAATAATGGTGACCCATGCAGACATTTGCCAACGATATCATTAATTTCTGGATACTAAGAGTCTGGGGTTTTGATCTGAATCTTTGTAAATAGTTAACACAAATTAGTCATTGAACTTATGAGAACTGGCAACTCAACCCTGAATGCACTGGTTTTCTCTTTCAGGAAGGTCCCCCTCATAAATGTGCCTTAATTTTCGCAGATAACAGTGGAATAGACATCATTTTAGGAGTCTTCCCCTTTGTCAGAGAGCTACTCTCTAGAGGTACAGAGGTGAGTTTGAGTACTCTGGATTATGGATGCTTCATGGGCTTTATAATTGTTTGAAGTGTTCACTAATAGTGAAAGACTTAACACTACTTCCCACTAACATCTGCTAAAGCACTTCTGTGCACCAGAAATTGTAATAATAAACCAAATGGGAGGAATGTGGCCAAGTGATATGGGTAAGGGAATTTAGGAGTCAGGACTCCTGGCTTCTAGATTCATCTCTGCTCTGACTTAAAAAAATCACAGCCTCTGTCTCATGAGCTGTAAAATGAGTCTAATAATAACCTACTGCAGGAGAAACTGAGGAATTTGGGGGAGAGATAAATTAAAAGTGCTATGATCTCTTTAGTTGAAATGTGCTGGAGCAGTTTAAGGAGTTACTAAATGGCAGTAAAAATCTGACACTCTTGTTTTTAATACACTAAATGTTGGGTTTAGTCTGACTGCGTGTTTGACTACCGATAAGGGAGTTGTGAGTGTGGTGACAGGGAGCGTAAGAAACGGTGACGGGTAAATTGAGTAATAAATGGCTGTTAGGTTTGAGGTCCTCAGTCCTTTTAAGTGAAGCTAGGGGTATCTGAGAGAAAGTTTAGCAAGTCTTGGTAAAAGTAATAACTTTGTGAAACTGGCAACTCCAATCCAAAATGTTGTTGTATTAGACAGTAGTGGAATAAACTTTAAAAGAATACACTAAAAGTCTGATACAACCATTGGCTTTAGCAAATTTAAAAACCATGCTTCTATCTATTTGTATAAACTATTAGAACGGGAAAATGTGCATGCATGGGTGTAGGCTGTGGCTGGTGGTGATCTTCCATGCTGTATTGGGGAGGGAAAACCAAAACTAGGAAAATGTCATTGTAAAGCCACAATTTGGCAGGGGCAATTGAAGGCAGCCATAGAACATGAAACAACCTTGATCATCTTTGAAATTGAGATTTCAGCTAGACATTCTTCCACCTCCACCCGTTTTGATGAATGTGTGAATATCTTAGATAAGAGGGGAAATCTTCTGATCTCTTTGCTGCAGGTTATATTGGCTTGTAACTCTGGCCCTGCACTAAACGATGTTACCTACAGTGAATCCTTGATTGTCGCTGAGCGGATAGCAGCAATGGATCCCATTATACAGTAAGTCTCTTTTTTCCTTTTTTGAATTGTGTGAAGAAAAAGGCTCTGACCACATTTATAAATACTTAAACTAGATTCTGCACTTTGACCTGCCCTCTCCCCCGTCATTTCCTTAAAAGGAAATACTGTCCATGCTGAAGGTGTAGAATACATGATATACACAAGATTGAATATATCTTAAATGTCAGTGAGAAGAGAAACCTCCTGTAATGATTGTATCTCCTACTCAACCCCATTTGGCTAATGCATGAGAACCAGAACCTGAAATAAATGGGGAAATACTGAAATGAAACTTAATGAAAACTGAGTGGAAATTCAAAACTGACTACTCTGTAACAATAAGCTAGAATTCACAAACTTTCAGCTTTCATAATATAAGATGATAAAGCACCAAAGATGTATTTTAACTGTTCTTGGGGATCCCTTACATGATGCCACTCAAATCCTTACAGGTGTTAACTTTTTTGAATTATGAAACGAGAGAAATGTATATTAATGTGGTGTACAAAGCATCCCTTCTAGGGCATGAGTGAAATATGTCCCCACTGTCCGAGCAACTGCTTCATAATCGTGTAGTAAGTTTAGAGTGAAATTCTGGAAAAGGATGACTAAATGCCCCCCTTTCTACTCAGCCTGAATAGGTACATAAGATTGAGAAACAATCCTCAGCAACAGGCACAGAGCATCTTGGTGGCAGGGTACGTTGCAGCCTGCAGCCATGTGTCTGGATACTCACAATTCAGCCTCAGTGCGTAGGTTACTCCATGGAGGCAGATGGGGCAAGCTAGAACGTGGCTCTGGTCTGCAGGAGGGAGTTAAGTCTTGCGTTGTTTCAGACTAATGCCAGTCTGGCTGCATTGTGGGCCTGGCTTTCCCAAGGGTTCTTGCCTTCAGGACTTCCTTGTTTAGATGGTAGCGAAAGAAATTATGTGGTTTGTTTGTTTGTTGTTTTTTCCAAAGATCTGCACTGACGGAAGAGAGGTTGCTGTTGGTACAAACAGGCTCCAGTTCCCCATGTTTAGATCTGAGGTATGTTTACCAGTGGATGAAATGTGTATTGTAAATTCTCTGCCTTTGCCATGCAGTGAGGTAGATTCTGCACTTTAGTACAGTAACCACCCAACCTCTTTCTTTCAATAGAAAGCATTTCTATAAAATCCATTATACTTGCTGAAACCTGCAGACAAGCATGTATGATGATAATGATCAGTCCCTGCTGTCTGTCTGATATCTTAATTCTCTCTTGCTGCAGCAAACATATCTACTTTCACCCTCAAGTGGATTAAACATTAAAAGCTTTGGCTCAGAATATTCAACTACTCTGAATTTTTTATGTAACTACATCAGGTGGTTATTGTCGGAAATGAAAAATTGGTTCTTAAGGGTAACAGGCCTAATCCTGTAGTTATTGTAGGCAGTTCTGCCTGGATCGGCTCTTTGTCTTAAAGTAGTTTTCTCAGTGACAGGTGCCTTATGTACTGGATTTGGTAGCAAGCACAGACTGCTCTCTGCCATACATGAGGTTAACTTGAGTCCTTGCCCCGGTGCAGAGAAAAGGGGACTTAACTCCAAGATTCAGTCTCATCGCGCAGATTCCTATTGTCTAGTGATTAAATCAAAGCTGCAGTAAGATCTTTAACTCGATGCAGAAAGACAGCGATCCTTTCCAGCAGCCCATTGAGAAGCTGAATGCCACTAGTGCTTGGTTTTTTTCTAACATCCTGACCCCATCTGTACTTGGCACAATTGGACTTCTTACAGCTTTGTCACTTGTAGAACTAGATGTAATGCTTTATTTCCTATCCTGCATGTTGTTGCCTTGGCACCTCATTCTCTCTAAAGAAGTTAACTGGAACCCTTCGCTTGCATTCTACCTGTCTTTTGAGAAGGCAGCTAGAGCACTATAGGCCTGGCTTGAGAAAATTGCAGGGGGAAGGGAGCTTGAGGACATCTCACAAGCCCTGCTCTATGTAACTTTGTGGCTCTTGGTTTCTCTCAATTGGTATTTCCAAATGGGCTAGAATGAGTCTCCTGCTCCCTTCTCATCCCCTAGTTGTTGTACTAATTGCTTTAAAAGAAGAAACAATGCATGGGGAAAGCAAGATAGCCCTCTTGGAAGAATAACCAAATCAACCATTCCTAACCTTCCCTGATGGAAGGAGAGAACTCGCTGTAGATACGCTAGCGGTACCACCTATATGGTCTGGCTAAGTGTATATCTACCTTGAAATCATGGAGTGAGTGCAGCTTGTGTAGACATACCTGAGCTAGCTTCAATGGCACTAAGTCAGGTACTGGAGCCCTAAAGCCATGATAGCACAAGCTAGCAACCGGAATAATTACCTGAGGGTCTGGGAAGGCTTCTGTAGCCTTCCCTGATACCAGCACACAGTTAACTAGGATATGTCTAACACAAGCTGCAGCCACAGTCTGTGATTGCAGTGTAGACATTAAATCCGCCTGCCATGCAGGGTAAAGTCTCTGGAGCTCCTGAAGGTGCTCTCTGCAAGCCAAATGGACTATCAGGTAATGGGTGCGTCTACACTACACCGGGATAGCAGCTATGCCGGTGTAGTGTAGATACTTTGTGCACCCATGGAAGGGGTTTTTCCATCAACGTAGGTAATCCACCTCTGATGGTAGCTAGGTCAGTAGAAGAATTCCTCAGTTGACCAGTGGGGGTTAAGTCTACTTTACTATGTCACACAGGGTGACAAATTGTTCACAGCCCTGAGCAATATAGTTAGGTCAACCTATGTTTTAGGTGTAGTCAGATCTTACTCCATTACTGACATAACTGGACAATTAAATTTTCTATCTGCATCTCATTACAGCCGGCTGGACAAAGGCCTGGCCCTGCTGGTCAGGGAGCGGAGGACTGACTTGGTTATAATTGAAGGGATGGGCCGCGCTATCCATACGAATTACTATGCAGCTCTGCAGTGTGAGAGCCTCAAACTTGCAGTCATCAAAAACTCATGGTTGGCTGATCGGCTGGGCGGAAAAATCTTCAGTGTCATCTTTAAGTATGAAGTGCCACGCAAGTGACTGGGGTGGAGGCCTGAAGTGTGGCAGCAATGGACTTGCACTAGTTTTACTTTAATTGTAAAGAATGTATTTTTATTACGACAGGGAAAATGAATTCACATGAAATTCCATATTTATACTGTGCTTTGTGACTTAAAGCAACAATATTCATTATATAAAAAATACACCCAAAATATATATGTATATCACTCACTGTTTATTTTGGTAAGTGTTTATTTTAATGCTGCAGTATTTGTGATGGAAAGACTTTATTTTTTTGTTCTGTGAGACATTCATATAGAAATATATTTAAATGTCAATGAACTCTTTTTATATATCTCTGCTTACTATGCCAGCAGTGACTTGGCACATACCAAATAGAGTTTTTAAAGTGCTGAAAGCGTTTGACTTTGCATTTGAATATTTTAGTTCATGAAATACTTCAGACCTTTCTAAATTCTCTCTTGTTAAGCTAGGAAGAGACTTATTTCCTTGCAAGCTCTGAGCAGTGTTTATTTCAGACACACGGGAGCCTAGAACAGTAACTGACCTGATCGTCAATGAGAGCAGCAGACTTATTGCTGCTAAGATTTATCCAGCTGCTGCAGGGTGAAGTTAAATTCCTGAAGCTCGTCCACCTCCATTCCTGGGTTTTATAGTCTTCTGGATCCCATCTAAATGGGTTAAGGAAAACCAGTCTCTTCAGCTAAATTGTCTAATTTTTTAAGACTGAACCAAAGCAAGCTCAATTCCTCGCCCATACAGCTACTTAAATTAATCTGGAATAAGGCCTTCAAGAATTCCCATGTACTCTCTTCTTCCATTTGATATTCCTGTACCCTAAAGACAGAATCAGCTAATGCATGCTTCTCTTAATCTGTTCCGCTTGTTAAACCCTCCCTGGCAATAAGATTTTGGCCAAACGTACACATATCCATGCTAAACTACTTGGCTTTTGTTGATCAGCTCAAAGCACTGTACCTACACGCCGGGTAACAAGTGACTTCAGGTCACGCTCACATTCATTTCAGCTCTGCTCCAGTTTCCCTTAAATAAAGGCAAGTAATTGGAGGGTTATGGCCAAATCTTCAGCATCAAATAGCCATTCAGAGTGAATGGTAATGATTCCCTCCTGGCCATTCTCCAAGGATACCTGCGAGAAGATGCCTGTTTCTTCTCTGCTCCTGATATTCTAAATAGTGGAAAATCTGTAGTAACGTAAGCCTGCTTGGTGAAGTCTCCATTAGCTTGCAAGGAAAGATACTCCGTACTCTTCACTGACTTTCACTATAGAACTTTAAATTAGCAGCAGTATCCTATTTAGGGTGACCAGATGTCCCGATTTTATAGGGAGAGTCCCGATATTTAGTGTTGTCTAGAGGGATGAAAGAGCAGAGTCAACTTGTCAAGAACTAATTTAATTTAGTTTTAAGTAAGTCACATGCTCTTTTTCAAACAACTTTTTTAAGGGTGGCGGACTGGTTACGTTTGCAGTGGTGACAGGCTTTCATAGTTTTAAATAGCATTTGCTATGTGGCTCTCAGCCTTGTATTAAAGCACTAGCATGTCTCTTACAAGAGGAGGGATAGTCTCAGCACAGAAGTCTGCTCTCCCCATGAAGCACCATGTATTTACACAGTAAACTCCAGTCAGCCCAAAGGTGAATATGAACCATAGTCAACATGCTGCTGCTTCTTCCCTCACCACCCAGCCAAACAGTAAATGGAGGTCTCTTACCTTTCCGGGGGTAGATGGAGATCATCACTTACTTTATTCTCCCTTAAATTAGATTAGATCCCTTATATCGTTCAGTCAAAAACAAGCCAGACAGACAGTAACATTGAATGTTTAATTTGAAAATTCCTACTCTGTAATAGCCGGGATTAAACATGTCCTTAAGTAACTTCAGCCAAGTGATCAGACTGTTCCTCTAACATTTTTACAGGTTTCAGAGTAACAGCCGTGTTAGTCTGTATTCGCAAAAAGAAAAGGAGTACTTGTGGCACCTTAGAGACTAACCAATTTATTTGAGCATAAGCTTTTGTGAGCGGCAGCTCACTTCATCCACAGTATGCATCTGATGAAGTGAGCTGTAGCTCACGAAAGCTTATGCTCAAATAAATTGGTTAGTCTCTAAGGTGCCACAAGTCCTCCTTTTCTTCTAACATTTTTAGCATCCCTTATGCTTCACCCTCCTGTATATACTGTTAGGTGCCAGGTGCAAAGAGACTCTACAGATGTTCCTGCTACCACAAGGCAATGCATGTTTCCCAAGTTTTGCAGTTGCCAATATTCAATATGTTACTGAAACTGACTGTCCCTCTTCACCCTTTCCCACTACAGCCACGCAAAACTAGCAGCAGATATAAGGCAGTATATACAGGAGGGCAATGCATATGCTGTGTAACATGCTCTGCCACTAAGCCCGACTCTTCTGATATGCGGAAAGGCAACCAAAAGTCTCAGAAACCAAGGGTAAGAAAAATGCAACTTCTGTTGGATCACACGTTAGTTAAATTGGCCCTGCTGATTTAAGAGCCAGGTTATTTTAGTTGATTTACCTCATTTTATTTAGTTCAAGCTCAGCATAACTGAGGCCGTTAATATTCCATTGCAGTCACTCTTTCCACAGGTGGCTGATATTAAGTGAGTCATTCAATTTGAAAACCGCAGGCAGCAAGATTTGCACCCTCCCCCCCCCCTTTTTTTTTAAATAGTCAATACATTTTCACTGGGAAAAAACTCACCTTCGTGTGGTCGGTGAGTGAGACCTAGGAACTTGAGACTGGAAGTTTTGCATGAGAGTGAATCTCAATCATTGTGCCCTTCAACATGCTCCTGGCTAGCATCTCACTTGGAGGAAGTTATACTGATAAACATTGGCAGGTGGCAAGCAGCTGCATTAATTTAAAGGCTAAATATCAGTTTGTTTTTTAATAGAGCTGTTCCCATGCTCTGGCTCCGAATAAGTGTATTTTGTCTAGCAAAGCTGTTCTTTGATACTTGTTATGTTTTCAGTATTCAAAGCTCTGTACAGACACAATCTTTGTCATACTGAAAAATGGCAGGCAGTTACCTGGGCAGCCCATGGAAAATGCTGCTTATTCTGTTTTACACTGCTCTTGAAGTCTCATTCTAGAGTCTCCTAAGCTTGGTTCCAGAATATTCACACTGATCCCCTTGACTTGCAGCTCCACGTGTCATTCAGTTTTGAGCATTTAAAATGAACAATTACCGCTGATGGAGGTTGCTGGCTTGACAGCCACAATCCTCTGCTGCGTCACAGAGCAGGGACAGCTTACATGCATCACTCTGAGCTGCAGGCTCCACTTCTAAAGGTGCGTCTATACTGCAGCCGAGGGTGTGACTGGCACAGCCTGCAGACAGACTTGCAGTAGCTGGTACTCGAGCTAGTTCACTCTACACAAGCTGCTAGTCACATCCCCAGCTGCAGTGTCGCCATATGCTAAGGGTATGTCTACACTGCAGTCAGGTGTGACAGGGGCACACACAAACTGGCCACAGCTTCACTTCTATTGTTATTTGAGCTAGCTTGGGTAACATGGGCTAACTGCTTCAAAACATACCCCAGCATCAGCGGGAGGGCTGTCCAGCCCATGCTGCTAAGGCTTCACTGCGATGGTTAGGTGCTGCAGTCACACCTCCAAGTCCAGTGTAGACAGAACCTTGTATGAATGAGGTGCTCATTCTCCACGTTTGCTCAATCCTCAACCTTTGAGCTGTGACTGTTTTACGAGGGCCACCCAGTAGCCATCAGATGCTGACATCTTCAGTAATCATTGCTAGGCTGGATTTAGTGCTCTAGAGCGGCCAGGATCTGGAGTCAGTCCTCTGAGCTATTTAGTTCTCTGTCTGCAGTTCAATCATTATAGAGATTGACCTTTCCTAGTGCTAGGGGAGCTACACTCTAGGTATACAGAGATACAGTACCAGTGCAGAAAACTCATGCAGAGAAACAGCTACTACTGAATACACACCCTAGGAAAGAAATTGATTAACACTGAGACTCCACTCCCTAAAGAGGTTCTTATGGTTTAACCTTCTCTGGATTCTCTCTTGCACCTTCTTTTATTCTGAACCGATGACTCATCTCCTCGATGAGAACAGAGCAGCAAGATTTCTGAAAGATATGAAGGGGGTGGGGGAGGAGAAGGTGTTCCATGTGACCCAGAAAAGTCCCTTTTAATATACACAGGGCCTTGGTTGTACTAAGGAATCAGCTGAGCACAACAAGGCTGAGATCCAAGTACAGGAACTGCAAGAGCTGTCTTTTCTTTGCATTCATTCCCTTACTTGTCAAAGCATTCGTTAGAACTACTGGTACTTTAGAACAAATTTATCATTGCCAAGGAAACAGGACAGAAGTAGCAAATAAAGTGGGTGTACTGCCAAGGCTTTCCACTTGCACTAGTTTTACGGCAGCATAACTTAAGCAATGCAGTTGACGTTAACTCTGACACACACTCGTCCTCTGTCTGTCCACAGCAAGTTAGAAGGCACACGGATACTAACTATTAACGAGAGTTAAACAAAAATCAAGTTTTTTTTCTTATCTCCTCCAGTTTATTCCCTAAATAAATTCATAACCCTCAATGATATCATCACGAATCACAGGCTGTGGAAATGTTATAGATCATCATTCGAAGTGAGGAATAAACAGATTTCTTTCCATAATGGAGATCGTAGTTTTGTGCAAAGATCCATAGTAATACAGAAAGATGTTTCTAAGGATACATCTATACTGCAGCTAGAGATGTAATTTCCAGCTTGAGTAATTGTAGCCACACTGGCTTTGACAGAGACAGCAGCATAGCAATGGTGTCATGGGCTAACAGCTCATGGACAATCCTGTCTGAGATCCTAGGTACATACTCAGACACTAGCTTTGCGACCTGAGCTGGAAATAACTTCTCCAGTTGCAGTGCAGATCTACCCCATGTCAAATGTTTTCCACCAGGTGGGGTCCAGGACACCTCTCTGACTTGCTACTTACATCAGAGGAGGTGCAGCTGTACTGGGGGTAGGGATCTAGGTCCATCGCATGAGAGTAAAGCTGTGCAAAGGTAAGGAGGTGTCACAGTGCCACTGACCTTCTCCCGTTCAGCAGCATGTCGGCTCTTGTTTGACAACTCCACCAAAGCCACAATCACTCCCAGCACGAGGCCAAGGGCAAGAACCAGGAAAAGTCCTCCCATGGCTTGCGGTTTCAGAGGACTCCATGTGTCCGGGCCCTTATGGAAACAGGTGGTTTCCCACCACTTGTTACGTAGGTAGTCCAGGTCGCCTGACTCGCCCAGTTTCAGCACAGCAAGGGAGAGTTTACTGGCCCACGGTGATCCTGGAGGGTAGCAGAGAGAAGTGAACTGGAGCATTATACGACACTTGCACAACTTACTGCTAGCCGCTCAGGCACAACCCATAAATACGCAGCAGGCAGTCGGTTGGCTGCTGCCTACCACCTCTGGAATGGCTGCAGTCCAGGCATATATTGTGTGTGTAATTGTTGAAGCTTTTTGAGAGGAAAGATGGGATAACCATGACAGATAATGTTAAATCTTTGCATTTTAAAAACAAACAGTCACATCTCAAAACAGCCATGCAGTAGGAGCGGCTGAGCTGTTGGACAGTTATGCTATCCTCATGCCAAAATATAAATGCTCATGCTAAAAAAATAATGAAAGAGATACAGGGAAAGGCAATGTAAAAAATACAGGCAGAACAGCCATTAAAGAGAACAATCATCAAAGCCTTCCCAGCAAACTTTTACTTTTTTTTAAAGTCCTCAGTATGCATCGGCTGCTATTCTGGGACGTTGGGGCTACAGAAAAAAAATTAACCAATCACTGACTGGCAGAGGATTCTTTAGCCTCTAAAGAATGAAGGGTCCGTGTCAGAGAGCAAAACTTTGTGAGCCCAAAGTCATCAGCAGAATTAATATGTTGGATATTGACGTTGCTTCGGGTCACAGAGCTCCCCTCGGAGTCTCATGGCAGGAGAGGCTGTTTTGGACCTGGCCCATTGAAGTTTCCTATGTCCCATGGGCTGGCAGAAGGGCACTGAAGTGGATCTAGAAATCAGGGGTTTTTAGCTCTGTGGCAAGTTACTGCAAGTGAGTTGAAAGGAGCTGGCGGGGTGGAAACAAAGCAGCAGACACGTCTCACCCTTTGCTGTGGCCAGGCCGAATCCCCGTGCTCCAACAACCTCGGGAGCCCTGATCAAATTGCAGTGCCTGGCTGCGAGAAGATCTTGGGATACAGATTCCCCAATGAAGGCATAGTTCGATTCCAGCACACGCTGAACCGCCTCGTGGTAGCTTTTGACTAAAACATGGTCTCTCCTCTTGTCCATGTACTCATAGATCATCTGATGGATGGGATTCCTGGAGTTCTGCAGCCCACAAAGTAAAGCGTCAAACTCGCAGTGATCAAGGAAGCGGCTGTACAAGACCGGTGTGCACCAATTGCAAAATAGCCATCTGGAGAAGATAGTTTAAACTCTCTCTCCCTCTGAGCCTCTGTACTGAGAGCTGCCAATGCTCTATCCCTGGTGGGGAAGTTAACCAGTCTCTCAGCAAAGTACACAGGTTTCAGATAAAAGGTAAAGCATCACCAGGCAGACCGGGGATACACAGCTTTAAAAGTCAGCAAGAATTGAAGCGGGAACACATCCAGCCTATGCAGGAAGCTCACTAGCTAAGCAAAAGCAGCTCATCAAAGCTTGGCTAGCACAAGCTGTCTACGTGCGTAGTCTGACTCTGAGCACAATCACAGCTCCTGGGCTCTTAGGGACTCTACAACAGGGTCAGGCACCTTGAAGAATTGAAACGTGGAGGAACTTTCTACTGTCCCAAACTCGATCTCTCTCTGCTTCACGAGATCTTCAAAAGTTTGGATTGGAAGCGGCTCGTTCCCAGCACGCAGCAAGGCGGTGAAATTGGCAATATAGGCAGCCAGCAGAGAGAGGGTGAACAGCCACCAAATGGCAGCAATGATTCGCCCGGACAGTGCTTTGGGATGAGGTGCTGCACCTGCAGAGGAGAGAAGGCAGCTGCAGGGTTCGCAGCTTGACACGCTCACGAAACGGACAGCGCGGGCAGCCTGGAGCGGATCCATGTATTTAAAGGGACTCAGGGAGCTTGAAAAAGTGCGTTTCTCTTTATTTAACGACACTCGTCCCGATGGAAACTTCCCCTGCAGCGCTAGAGCCCAGCACACAGCAGCCATGGCTAGTACATGAGCCCTGGACAGCAGCTCAGCCTCAGCCCAGTCCACCCACCCGCTGCAGGGAAACCACACCGATGGCCAGAGGCAAAGGAGAGCCTGGCACCCTCTGACCTCAAACACCGGTGTTCAGGTAACGTCCCTTCAAACCACCTCCCACTGCAGCCAGACTCCTCCACCCCTCCGGTGCTCAAGCAGAGCGATGACTAAGGTACTGTCTGTGGTCCAGTGGGCAGAGTTAGTGCTGCAGGACGCCCTGCTGAGATGGCCTTCTCCATCAAAATCAAACAGGCAGGGCCGTCCATAGAGCAGAGCATGCCAGCCGCACACAAGGTCTTTACACCGCGATGGATGTGGGCCGAAATGGTGCGATCGGCTCCCTGACAGCTGTAGGTTTAGCTGGTCACACCCACAGCCCCACTAGGGTCCTACCTTGCAGGGTAAGAGCTCCTGCTCCAAACCAGAGGCTGTTCAGAAAGGTGAAGTGGTTCTCCTCACTCTTGGGTTCCTTCCATTCACAGGGGCTCAGCCTATGGAAAGAAACCAGGTGTCACAACAGCCCTGCCAGCATCAACCGCAGAGGGGCCGGGGTTGTTCCGTGGCCCACACAGCTTCAGTCTATGATTCAGAGTGACTGCGTTCCTGTTTGGAGCACCCGGGCCATGACCTTGGAAGCGACCAGCTGATGCTGCCCTCGACCTGGGGTGCATCGCAGCAGTGAAGGCTTGGGACGGGTGCATTGCCCAGAAACACGGACAAGCCTCCTTCTCCCAACCTGGCCACGGTGGCAGCCAGCTGGGAGGAACAAGTGCTGGGCTGCGAAGCTGGGCCTTCCGCAGGGAGTGGGGCGGCACTGAAGGGAAAGACCTGGTACAAAGCGAGCGGTGTGGGCCCCAGCACACTGAGATCACTCTGCCCTGGGGGCATGAATGGTGGCTGATATGCACTGGCACTGGGGTTGCTTAACTGCCCCAGCCTATGCCCAGGCCAAAGGAGAAGAACGAATCCAATGAGGCAGTTCCAAGTGAGAGAGGCAGGAGGGGGAACAGCTCAGATGATCACCAAGGCCTCTGGTTACTGGGGGGCTGTGCTAAGAGTGGCCCTGTTCACATCCTCAACTCTACTGAAGCAGCAGAGATGGGCTGTGCAGGGTGCTCGGGACAGGAGGCGCAGCGAGTGGATCTGTGATGACATGGATTCCACAGGGAAATCCCAGCACAAGGAAGGCAAAGCAGCAGCTGCTGTTCTAGCCTGTGGCTGCAGGGGGGCCACGCTGCGGCTGGCTTGGAAGTGGGGAGTGAAGTTCTTCCTCCCGCATCATGCCTGGATATCCCTGCTCTGCATGGGCAGGAGAGGAGAGTAGCGTGACCAGAGGTCCCAATTTTACAGGGACAGTCCCGATTATTGGGTCTTTTTCTTATATAGGCTCCTATTACTCCCCACCCTCTGTCCCAATTTTTCACACTTGCTCTCTGGTCACCCTAGAGGAGAGAGAATTCCACCCACTGAAGCCAGTGTGAGTGAAGCACCCAGAGGTGAGTTGCACCTTAGACACAAACATGGTCAGGTTTAAGGGGAGAGAAATTAACTGGGATGAAGGTGAAAGCACAGGGATGAAATTCGTGTGTTTAAATAGAGCATCCAAAGCTTCTTAGAATGTTAGAGACATGCTGCATGTGACTATCTAGAGGGGAAGAGACCCTGATTTTGCTGAGATCTCTCAAGTACCGTGGGCCTTAAAAGAGACACTTTATCTGCACTTTTAGCCCAGTGAGCTGTTCTGAGGTGTGCAGAAGCAAATACAACCCAGTGCTTTGGCTAGGAGTAAGGGTCTGTTCGGTGCCTGGGGAAAGCAATAGGTCCCAGAGAAAGCCAAACACATTGTACAGAACAGCAGCTGTATTTTTACCTGGCTGCAAGGAAGAGGCAGAGGCAGGTCAGCAGGTAAGCAACCATCAGGCCAGTCCAGGTCTCCTTACTGAAAGGAGCAAGGAAGCCGAAGAGAGAAGCACCCTGGGAGGCAGCATCCTTCCTGAGCAGGATCCCGATCCCTGTGCCCAGGAATGGCATGGTGAAGGAAATCACCTCTTCCCTCACTGACGTGATCGTCAAGGGAGCCACAGCGAGGTCTGCTTCCTGCAGGACAAGCCGTGATGTCTCAGCAACCCTTGGGACACAAGCTGGAGGAGTCTCAGTTCCCAGTGGACAGGTGGCCACCGGACAACCCCCATCACTGTCCCACTTAGCAGCCTACTATTTGCCATTCTGGCAAGCCATCCCCATTTCGGGAAGAGCCAGGGCTGAGAAGCAAGTTGTGTCTCCCAATTCTCCAGGCTGCAGCATTTACAGGCATGAATCATAGAATATCAGGGTTGGAAATGACCTCAGGAGGTCATCTAGTCCAACCCCCTGTTCAAAGCAGGACCAATCCCCAACTAAATCATCCCAGCCAGGGCTTTTGTCAAGCCTGGCCTTAAAAACTTCGAAGGAAGGAGATTCCACCACTTCCCTAGGTAACGCATTCCAGTGTTTCACCACCCTCCTAGTGAAAAAGTTTTTCCTAATATCCAACCTAAACCTCCCCCACTGCAACTTGAGCCAGAGCCAGGATTTGGAGAGCTGCAAGTAGGTACACAGGGCCAGACTCAAGGCAGCGTAGGCTCTAATTTGCAACTTGCCACCAGGTGGCAGCACAGGACAGGACAAGGCGCCCATTCAAACGTGTCCTTAACTAGTTTATTGTAATAAACCCAAAGAGGCCTGCTTTCTCCCTCCCTCCTCCTCCAAAATCTACCTGGAGCTACATACACTTGGGCTGGCCCTTTATTTCTGGACCAGCCCTAGCATGTATCCAGATAGATCCATGGAATGTGAAAAACAGGAAGCGTACAGTAAATGCACCCTTGTTGAGCAACTGCTATGACTGTTACTCTGTTACTATGCTGTTACTCTGAAACCTGCTATGACCAAAAGTTTTCAAAGTTACTCATGTCGGTCCCAGGAAATCAGAGAGACAAGGTGGGTGAGGTCGTATCTTTTACTGCTGGTGAAAGAGACAAGGCTTCGAGCTACACAGAGCTCTTCTTCAGGTCAAGAAAGCTTGTCTCCTTCACCAACAGAAGCTGGTCCAATAAAAACTGTGACCTCACCCACCTTGTCTCTTTGAAAGTTGGCAAGTGAGTTTGTCCCAGCCTCCAAGGCGTTTGCATCAGTTTCATTCTGACTCCGTGATACCAGCTAGCAAGGGCTGCACCTCGGGTGTATTTCAGCCAATTGTTTGGTTTTAAGACAGTTTCCTTTAAAGCCTTTATCTTCGGCACATCAGACTGAATGGAACACTGCGGCCACTCGGTTGCAATCCAGTACCTCTCAGCAGTCCACGAGGCAGCACAGCCTAGTGGTCTGAGCACAACACAGCAAGCCAGGAACTCCCACTTTCCTTTGTGGTCTTGTGCACAGTCATGTCCCATCTCTGTGTCTCAGTTTCCCTATCTGAAGAATGGGGATAACACTACTGGCCTACCTCACAGGGAGGCCTCCATACCAAATGCTTGCCAAGTACTGCGTGAAGAGGAGATGTGCGCTAGGCACTTGGATTGTTAGTGCTGAGGTGAAGTGGGAAGGGTGACAGCTCCCTGGGGTTGTCAGGGAAACAAGAATCCCCGGCGGGGATGCTAACGTGGTTGTTTCCACCCCCACACCTGGGGAAGTTCAGCCCTCCCGAGAAGTCACCTGCCTGACGATCTCGCCGACCATCCCGGTCCAGTTCCCACTGGAGGAGACAGCCCCATAGCGGCCATCTTTCACTATTGTCACCTTGTAGTTGAAGTGCAGCTTCTTGGCGAGCATGTCCAGCAGATCCAGGCAATAGCCCTCCAGCTCTGTGCCTCTTGCCATCGCATAGGGGTCTTGCTACACGCAAAGGGGCGGGGGTGGGGGGTGGGGAGGAGAAGGATGTTTGAAACCAGACAGCTCCACCATCAACAACCAGGAACCGGCTGTGAGATCCTTCCCCATTTCAGCAGCCTCCACCCCCCTCGGCCTGCCAAACCCCCAACAGATGGCCACCTGCAGATTCAAGACCTGGTGACAGAACCCAGGATTTAGCTGTGGTGCTTCCAGGGCCTGGAAATCTGCTCCCCACACACCTCCTCCCTGGTAAGAGATGCTAGCAGTCACTCATTCACATGAAACATAGACTCCCCCAAACCTAAAGCAGGGCGGCCTCGTTTTTTACCACTTAGGCTTTTATTTGCTTTTCACATGATCTGTCTCTGCTTTTGAGCCTCCTGACAATGCTGAGCGACAAGTCTGGGCACTACCAGCTTCCGCTGCGGGACACGACTCAGTGGGCATTGGCCGCGTCTAGCTGGGAACAGGCCCAGCTCTCAAGATAATATGTGTTTGAAAGAAGCATCCACCCAGCCCTCCTGCTGGATTGGGTCCATTCTGTCCTGGAAGCCTCCAGGCACTCTTTCCTCTAGCCTGTGCTAGCTGGTACCTGAGCGCCCTAGAAAGACTCACTGAAGACAGACAGAGGAAGGGAGTTTGGTCTCAAAAACAGACGAAGCCACGTGCAAGCCTAGGGGTGGGATGAAGAGAGTCCGCTACCCCAGCTGCTAGCAGCAACATGCTCCTTGGCCTTACCAGGATTGTTGTGACAGTCAGCGTCTGAGGATCCGTTGCCCCTTGTCCTTCCTCATCGCCACCCTGCAATGCAAAGCATTCAGGGTGAGCAGCTGGATCTCAGCCATGAAGTGCGCCGGCTCAGCCCGACCCATTGTTATTGTACCTAGGGGCCCAGTCACAAACAAGACCCCATAGTGCGAGGCACTGTACAAACACAGAACACAGACGGTCCCTGTCCCAAGGGCCTTACCATTTAAATGGTACCACAGAATTAGCAAGCCTGCTTTCAAGCTGTGGGAAAGCAAATGGCACATGCCATCGGGAGTGAAGGGACGGCTGCAAATTCCACTTTCCACCCATGCATCAAGGGTTGAATGCTGGCACGTTCCTGACAGCAATGAGTGAAACTGCCCTCTCTCTGCCCCGTCACACATTGTACCAGGGTCAGCACGGTGTAGTGGACTTAGGAGACCTGCACTCTATTCTCAGCTCTGCCACTGGCCTGCTGGGTGACCTTGGACAAAACATGTCTCCGCTCTGTGCCTCAGTTTCCCCACCTGTAAAATGGGGATAGCAATACTGCCCTCCTTCATAAAGCACTTTGAGATCCACTGATAAAAAGTGCTGCATCAAAGCCAGACACTTACCAACACGGCCCTGCAAAGTGCTGGAAATACTCTCCACCACCACAAAAGGTGGAAGTTTAATATCATTATCCCCATGTGGCAGATGGGGAAACTGAGGCACATGGCAATGCCAAGGCCACCAGAAAAACTAAGCGTCTCCTTTCGAGGCGCTCAGCATAGAAATGGCAGGAAGGGCTCGATCCAGCAAAGCAGACTCATTTCTGCTTTCTGCACTGGAACTCCGGGGTAAAGGCATCTCACAGGCATGTGTTAAATGGTTCTAATAATGGCAGACTCACCGCTGGGGTTTATCCGGTTCACACACTAAACACCTGGCGATGCCCCCAAGGTCCTCTGTGCCTTCCCCGCTGGGGCAGGTGGGCACCTTGCAGCATCAGAGAGCCACACTCCAAAGTATGAGGTTTTGCAGCAATCCACTTGCCACATGGTTCTGCAGGAACACAGGCCCTGGTCCTCCAGCCTGCAGTCCCGGCACCAGGGGGCCATGTTCAGGGCAGCCAACTCTCCATGCTGTTGCCAGCACTGAACGTCTAGATTTAAAGGGCCAGATTCTCAGCCGGTGTAAGTGAGCACAACCCCACTGCAGTCAATGAAGCACCACAGCTCTTCACCTGCTTTGGAGCGGGCCCAGTGTTCGCAGCGATATGTCTCCCCCTCCCACTCGACTCCGTCACCTGTCACTCGCTCCCCAACGGTAATTAATAAATCACAACCGTTTACTTTATCGTGTGTTGCCAACATATTTTACCCAAACAAAAAATCACTTTCCATGTTGTCTCACTTCTTGGGATACACAGCACATACACATTCTTTCAAAAACGATCAATTTACACTGCAGACAAAACAGCTGGAAGCCAATTAAGGCCTCATTAGAGCTCACTTCCAGGAGGCACAGAACGGCAGGGAGCATTAGATAAGGGGGAGGTAAGGAAAGCACAGATTCAGTTCTGCATGGAGCACTGAACTGGAAAACAGTGTTTTCCTACCTTCACAGCCCTCGCACGGCCACCGTCACAAGGTTTTAGGGCCAGAACCTGACCCATTCTAAAGTTCTTCTGAGCTTTGCCTGAAAACAGGCCAGGTTCTATAAGACGTATTTACATCTGCTTTGCTGCCAAAAGAAACACCAAGAGCTACTATTTTTGCAGGAGGTGCAGCAGAAAAAGGGGGTCTGATCTGCCAGGGTGTTGAGTGCCCCTGGAATGGAAGGAGCTGGGCACCTCCCAGAATCAGGGCCTGAGTTGGGTGCCATCCGTCAGCAGCTAACCAAGATGCTGTTCTAGAAGCAATGCTGAAATTGCCACTATCGCACAAAGCGCTGCAGAAGTCAAACGAGCTGCGTTCGTTTCAGTCCCATCGAAAGAACTGAACGAGAGGAAGAGACAAAAACTTGCCCAACGGGAAGAGTCGCATTGATGGGGAGAAAATAAGGGACCCTGCAGGAAGCTGAAGTATTTATTTTTGTAATCAGCAACACAGCAGGAGAGTGAGTTTGTGTGTGGGGGGGCTGGAGGGTGAGAAAACCTGGATTTGTGCTGGAAATGGCCCAACTTGCTGATCACTTTAGATAAGCTATTACCAGCAGGACAGTGGGGTGGGAGGAGGTATTGTTTTATGATCTCTGTGTGTATATAAAGTCTGCTGCAGTTTCCACGGGATGCATCCGATGAAGTGAGCTGTAGCTCACGAAAGCTCATGCTCACATAAATGGGTTAGTCTCTAAGGTGCCACAAGTACTCCTTTTCTTTCTGCGGATACAGACTAACCCGGCTGCTCCTCTGAAACACAGTGAATGAATCCATCTGTTTATCTACCTGCCTCCCTGTCAGAAGCAGCACAGTCTGGTGGCTAGAGCACCAGCGTGGGAATTTGGGGTACGTCTTTACTGCAAAGGAGCCCCCCAAGCCCCACGGCACCTGCCACGAGCTGCAAGGCTCACGTTGCAAGGCTAAAAATCGCAGTGTAGATGTTCCCGCTGGGGCTGGTGTCTGAACTCCAAAACCCTCCCCCTTCACCAGATTCCAGAGCTGCCCCCAGCCGGAATGGAAGCATCCACACTGCTACATTTAGCCCCAGAGCGCCAGCCCGAGCCAGCTGCCCCAGGCGCTGCCTGACTGGCACAAGGGGTTGTTTTTTGGAGTGTAGCCATAATCCAGGAGAGCTGGGTTCTGTTCCCCACTCTGCCCTGCTGTGTAACCTTGGATAAATCACTTCCCCTCTCTATGCCACTGTTTCCCCTCCCTCCCTTTTGGCGTACAGCACCATGCACAACAGAATCCCTAGCTTGGCTTGGGCATCTAGACACTATCTAATATAAAAATAATAAAGGGCATGTGTACCTGGCAGTTGGAGTCAGGTAGATACATCCGTGCTAGCTTGAATCTAGCTGGCGCGACTCAAACAGCAGTGAAGGCATGGTAGTGTGGACCCTGGCTCAGACCAGGAATGCAAGTGTGGACCCAGGTTTCCAGGCAGATTCATGCAGCACATGCTGTCATGTCTTCATTGCCAACCTGAGCTGCATTAGCCAGATCACAGCTAGCATGGGGATGCCTACCCGAGCTGCTATCAGACCTGCAGTTTATTTCTAAACAGGATTAGATTTAATTAGTAAACGTCCTTTAATTGCCTATTTCTTCCTTCATGCAAAAACCTGGGGCACTGTCTCCCCTTTCCCCTGAATTATTGTTAATTGAAATTATTGGCAGTTAAAACACAACTTGAGGGCTAAGAACAAGGATTTTGTGCGTGTCTGGCTAAAAATGCAGCATTCCATCATGCTGAAAAAACAGACAATCCAGTGTTTGTTCTGACCCTCAGTGAGGAGTTTATTTCTATCGTCCTGAAATAATAATAGCTGAAGGTTGGTTTTTCCTTGAGGCTTATTTTGATACGGCAAAAAATTTAAAATCCATTAAAAAAAAAAACCACACACACACAGGAACCGATGTCATTAACCATGAAAATTCATTACAAAAATTAATCCTTCCTGATCAAACTTTATGCACTGACAACACTAATACCAACAACCCACTCTGGAGTGAAACAGGCCTTTTCACATGAACATTCACAGCTGTGTACTAACAAACTGACATACCTTACTGACAGCATTTCCAGTCTCGATAGCTCCTGCAAATACAAACAAAATGTTTTTGGTGAGGGTTACTCTGCTTTTAAAGGGCAATGATCACATTTCCTAGGGGGGAATTCGATCCAGGGAATGACTCTCCTTGATTTCAGGGGGCTCTGTATCAGGTTCAGAGTTTGGCTTCATGACACTTGATGGGTTTATTCTGTGTGCTCCCTTGTTCCCACCACACTGTTAGTGGGTAGCAAATACCTACAGATACATGTGGCCAAATGCCACAATCCCAGCTGCCACCAGTACAGAAAGCCCTAAATGTTCGCTCCAGGAAAGGGTGCCCAGGGACCTCACCTGCATCCCTATGGGAAAGCCTTGTTGCAGCTGATAGTGATGGAGACACGTTCCCTAGTGTTTTTCAATCATCTTCTCTATAAAATTCTGTAGGGGGGGCAGGAAGTTATTAAAAAAAAACAAAACAACACCCAGACATCAGAGCGAGGCTCCCATACTCTCCAGTTGCATAGGGCTGGGGCAGCAGAAGGCACCCGGCCGTGCAGCCACCAGGATGGAAGCAGGAATCCTTCCCCGCCATGCCCCATTATGGAGAGCCCATTGGCCCTGGCATGGCATGCAGGGTGCTGGGAAGATGCCGTGTCTTTGAAAAGAGTGAAATGAAGACAGGGACCCCACTGATGATGGCACTGGGGAGAGAGAAGAACGGACTCCAGCCTGAGCTGCTGCCTCACTGTGCCACCCTCGGGAGCACACAGAGCAAAATGCCAGTTACTGCTGCAGGAGTTTAGTCTGGTGCGTGACAGCACGGCCTAGTGGGCAGGGACTCAGGAGACCTGGGCTCTATTCTTGGCTCTGCCACTGGCCTGCTGGCAAATCATTTCCCTGCACTGTGCCTCAGTTTCCCCATCTGTGAAATGGAGACAACGACCCTGCCCTCCGTCGTACAGTGCTTTGAGATCTGTGGCTGAAAAGTGCTGTATAAAAGCTGGACACTATTATTAGTGGTGAGATCAGGACTCCTGGGTTCTATTCCCAGCTCTATCACCTGACCTTGAACAAGTCCCTTTGAGCCTCAGCTTCTGCATCTACAAAATTACAGCTAATACTCACCTCCCACCCCAGGATTGCAGTGCTAAATGGAAGTGCTTGGAGGTGCTGGACTAAAAGCGCAAACAGTCCAGAGCATCGTTTACTAGCTGCACAGAATCAGTTTTCCACGGGAAAACACAAGCCTGTGTTTTGGGATGAGAGAGATACCGACCTACCAGCCTGCAAGGCCAAACCCCGAGCAGAATTCAGAGCACTTTCAAATGGAAGCTGCTGGGCTCTTTCATTTAACAAAGGTTCATCAGCTTTGCCTCTTCTGTTCTCAGGCTGAACTCTAGCTTATTGTAGAACAAACCCAGCTTTCTCCTTCGCTGCTGCAGTTCTCCGGGGAGCTGGAACCTCCTCAAAGGAGCTCTTTTGTTGTTTCAGAAGTTAGAGCCAGCACGAGTTCCTTTGGGTTCCTTTTTGAAGAGTTTCTTGGAACTCTTGGAACAAAACAAGCATCTGTGTTGAAGTATGCAGCCCCCCCGCAGCGGCGCTGCATGGGGCCGTTCAAAACCCTCACTGTCAGAGCCGCATCCAGCTCTCACTGTGTGAAAGGACGGTAAATAACCGAGCGGGGTAGCACTCGCGCCAAGCCCTAACAGTGACATTTGCACCCAAATCCACGGCCGGCCCTTTGTGAGAATCCAAGTACACAGCACAAAATGAAGGGGGTAGAGGAAAACAGAGACAAACGGGAGCTGTGAGCCACCTGGACACAGAGCAACCTGTGCTGAGGAGGGCTGAAGCGCTACGTCTAGGCCACGTAGGCGCTTGCTCCCTGCCCCTTCAACAGCAACAGGCTCTGCTCCAGGGCCAAACCGCCACGGCCATTTCCCGCCCCTGTGACGAGGGCGCAAGCCACGGAACGAGACGTGGGTTCCGATTTCGCAGGCCGCAAAGGGAGGGTGGCTTTTGGGGCCTAAGCCCATCTCCAGGGAACCCAGGAGAGGCCAGGAGCGGGGGAAGGGACAGGATGAAGGGACTGCGCTGCAGAGGGGACACGTCCAGCTCCCATCGGCGGTGTGGGCCTGGTGCTCCACTGGAGGGCAGGGGGGAGCCGGAGGGCTGCGACACGCATTGACTGTGCATTTTGGGGACAGCAAGGCCAGCAGCGCCTTCGTCCACCCCGCTCCGTGCCCCTGAACTCAAGCCTTTCCCAGCGGCAAGAGGCCACCTCAGCTTCCTCAGCAACAGACCTGAGATCTGAGAACTGCAGGTCTCGTATTCTCAGCCCTTACCCCATCCGGTCGACATGCCACATGGCACAAGCGGCCTGCCAGAGGAGACCTTAGCCCAGGGCTTTTCCGTTCCGCACAGGCAGTGAGAGACCCTGCACCACTGTTCAGAGGAGGGGGCTTGACCCAATTTCCTGCCCCCTCCCTGCTTGCCATAGAGCTTGTTCCTGAAGCAGACGACTTGGGAGAACCTAGGAAGTGGAAGGAACCTGAGCAGCTGAACATCAGCTCCCTTGGCTACACAAGCCCCCTGAGCAGAGGAGAGTAAACTGGCTCTTTGTGCAGAGGGCTGAGGGAGGGGTGAACCCGTTCCTCACTGTGCCAAGCCCCTGCCAAGCTCCTGTTGCTGTCTGTGGATAGCACTAGGGAACGCAGCATCAATTATCCACAAACCAAGCAGGGCTTTTCTCTCCCTCAAACACCTCCCTGGAGCCCCTGCGTCCCCTCAGGGACACACCATGCCCGGGAGGCGTGTCAGAATGACTGCTTCCCGTTTCACACTTCCCTTCCAAGATGCTAACAAGTTACATGAAAATACCACGGGCAAGGGGCAGGCTAAAGTGGGGAATGCTGGGAAGATTTTAGCTACAGACACCTCACTGATGTGGTTTAGCAAAACCCAGCCTCCCTTCCCAGTTCTCTCCAGCCAGTTTGCCTCCTGGCCCCACTCATCCACTCTACAACCAAAACGGGGTTAGCCACATGTCTCCTAACCTGGTGGCAGCATGGTTACAAGCTGCAGTGTAGAAGGCACCTGGCTGCATCCCTGTAGCCAAGCTAAAGCCTTGGACAGAGCAGAATACACAAGGGACAGTCCCGTATGCTCGCATAAGTGAGGGAGCTGCACAGATGACCGCATCCCAAGGTAGAGTGAGAATGTGTCTGGATGGTCCCTCCCACGTCTGGAGCAGACTTTGCTCTCACCTGCCAGGCGCGATCCCCCCAGGAGCAGCAGGCCCATCGTCACGCACAAAGCCAAGCGAAAAGCTTCCTCCATCAGGGCGGAAGCAGCTGGTGCCCAGAGGGAGCCCTGCTAGAGACAAAAGGCAGGTAGGGTAAAGTCAGTTTCACAGTTCACTAGGGCTGGGTAAATGTCACGGCATCGCTGATTTTCTGCATTGTATTTTTAAAAATCTCTGACTCAAAGGGAGGTCTCCAGGGGAAAGTATGACGGCTTATGGGACCAGGCACCTCAGTGAGGGGTCACCAGTGCATTTCACTGCAGCAAAAGGGCCAGGACATGCCACAAGCAGGGTTCTCCAGTCACCGTTCTTGCATCAGAAGGAAAGGGGAAACGGGAGGACTTACAATTAGCGTGCCGGGGCAGAAGAGAAATGGCTGCAGATGTGTGTGGTAATGAGGTGCTAATAGAAAAGCAGTGCTCCTCATTAGCCTGCTTGGGCTGGCAGGAGGAAGAAAGCAGAGTGAGCGCAGAGCAACTGGACACAGGCCAAGTACTGAAATCTTGCTGGTTTGTGCTGCAGCCTGAGTTGCAATTAGGGCAGGATAAACAACAAAAAAGGAGGATTTGTTTTCTGGGAAAAGAGTCAGAATTACAAGTGTCAGCTTCAAGCAAAACTTTTCAGGGATTTTTCACCAAAATGTTTTGAAGTGAAACATTTTCATTCTGCACCAAACAATGAACAAATTTCATTCTGAATTGTTTCCTCACAAAACTGGAAACGTTAGAATGTTATGAAATTTTTTTTTTAACAGAAGTTTTCCTAAAGTTTGAAAAGCCGTTTGTCATTGAACAACTTTGATGAAAAATTTGCAACCAGCTGTAATTGCAATGACAGATGCAATGGTGCTGTATTATGCCAAGTCACACAGACCATTGCAAAAGGCTCTAGTTCCTCTATTGCCATAGCACGAAACCACAAAGCCAGTGCCTGCCCCAGAGAGCTCACACCCCAGGAAATTATACAGAAGAGAGGGCAAGGTGCTGTAATCTTGGAAATGACTCGCTCCCTTAGTGGTTTGAGCACAAATAGCTGGTTAAGAGACAAGGTAAGGAGAGGGATCTCTGGTCCCCCGTCCATAGAAAATAGGGCAGAGCAGCTAGCTAAGCCCAAGATTTTCAGAAGCAACTTGTTATTTTGGGTGCTCAATTTGGTGCATTTTAAAGGGCGTGATCTGCAGACAATGGAGCACCTGCCCTCTGGAGCTCAGGACCCCTGGCGGTGCCTCACGCAGGGCACGCAGTATCCAAGCACCCAAAATGACTAGCCACTTAAAAACCTTAACACACTTTTCCAAGGCCCTGCCCACACTGCTGAGTTACCAGGGCACAGTTTGGTAGCATCAGCTGCCTCTAAGGTTCCCACCACCATCGCCTCAGATCTTGCTGGAGAGGGTAGATGGAATTCTCTGGCCCGGACACATGGCCCAGGCCACCTCTCTGGGGAGAAAAATAGGTTTTCTCCCAAAGCTGATTCGCTCTCAAAACCCCACCTCATTGGCTGAATGAACTGGGTCTGCACAGCCTCCCAGATCAGCTCCTGGCTCCCCTATCCCTAGTTCAACCCTTAGCCCAGGGAAGAGACACGTCTCTCAAATTTACCTTGCTCCGAAAAGCTCACCTTCTTTTTCAACTGGACAAACAGGCAGCAGCTCCTCGTGTTTGAATGCTGGGCTCAGGACTCATGGTCCAGTTCACACAGGTCAGATCTTGAGAGAGGGCTGGATCCAGGGAGGTGCTGAGTGGCTTCAGTTCCCATTAACTGGGGGACTTAGCACCACTCAGGATCCCAACCAGAGAGACTGCCAGCTTGACAACCAAGAGGGTCCCAGCAAACCTTGGTGCTGGACAGACTCACAAAGCTCCCCCAGCTGTTCGCCCAGTGTGGGAACTCACCAGGGGAAGGGACCCAGGGCTAAAACAACAAATCCAGTCCTCCCAAGTGCTAGCAGCTCCCACAATGGCTCATTCAGCACCTGTGCTTCCCAAACTGCCTCTTAAATGCTTCCATTTATATTTTACTTCTTCCTCCCAGCTCTAGTGGCGCTCACCCCCAGCCCGGGATCCCGCACACACTCAACAATACAAAGACACAGTTGTTTCCCTAGCGGATTCCCTCTAGGTTTTCCTTCTCCCCTCCAAAGAGAGCAAGAGGAGCTGAAAGAAACCAAAGCTGATGCAAAAGCAGCCTTTCGGGAGTAAACATTACAGCTGCCTTCTTCATAAAGAGACTTCAAAAGTGGGGTTTGATTGTTAAATCCCAAAGGCAGGGCGAGAATTCAGTCTGGGGTGCACACCTGGGTTTCTGGAAAATCACTGCGGGGTGGAGACTGAGCAGCAGCTGCAGTTAGCTGTTGCCAGAACACCAGGTAAATCAGCCACCACTGCACATAAAGAAAAAAAACAGTCCCCACCCGGGTTACACTGCATATTGAGCTCTCAGCCGTTTACAACAGAGCACATACAGTAAAGTGCTGGATTTATTTCTAGTGACTTGGCATCTCCACTCAAGGAATATACTGGATTTGCGCTGGTAGTGAATTGAAAGCAAACAGCCTGGTGAAATGCTGGTTAGCAGGAACAGATTCCAGCTTTTCCAGCTTCTTACACTCAGGAATAAAACCTGGGAAGGCCATGCAAACATGTGTCATGCTCCACTAGGAAACAGTGTGTGACTTGGTCCCAGTAAGCTCAGGCACAAGGGGAAGGAAAGCCCCAAAGGGTTTCAGGGCATCCCAGTCTCCAGAAAGCTAGAGAGGGGGCTAGACTACAGCGACACAGCTCTAGGGAAACTGGCTTGGAGTTAGCACTACTGTTGTTCACAGGGAGAGGGCTAGTCACTTCACTAGAAGCAGGAGGGGAGACAAGCAGAGCTGGTGCGCAATCTTCGGGGGCTTTCTCCTTCTACAAAGAGTTAACAAATACAAAAGCTGTCAGTATTACCAGCTCCACCGTTTGCAGAGTTCTTGCAAATTGCCATGTTCGCTGCCAAATCTAGCTAGCAGGACAGAGGACCCCAACGGACGGAGCTGAAAAGCCAGCTGCACACCTGGCCTTTCAGCTAAACAAGAAGAGGAGCAATTCAAGGTAGCGTCTCACTTACAGCGATTCCCTTTGCCTCTCCTAGACTGGTTTGTCTGCCAGGGGACCGCAGCAGAAACGACTCTGAGCTGGGATAAATCGAACATGCAGGCTGGCTCGCCCCTTCCCCTAGATAAAGGGTTGGACTCAGTAGGAGGAGCCAGGCGAAGGGGACTCCAGCAGGGAGAGTGCTGGCTATTGTTCCAAGCACTCAGCAAGAGCCCCTTGATTCTGGGAAGGCGAGAGGGGGCTCACGCCAACGCAGTGTCATACCAACAAAGTGGAGGGCTCAGAAGCAGAGTGCTCCAACAGGCAGGGTGCTGGGCTCAGACTCAGCAGACTCGGGTTCTGTTCTGGCTCTGCCACCAGCTTGCTGAGCGAGTCTGGGCAAGGCGCTTCCCCCACTCTGTGCCTCAGTTTACCCTCCCGCTCTTTGGCTGGCTTGTCTCCTTATACAAGTTCATCGGGGCACATAGAATCATAGAATATCAGGGTTGGAATGGACCTCAGGAGGTCATCTAGTCCAACCCCTGCTCAAAGCAGGACCAATCCCACATCTAAGCCACTAAGGCTATGGGCTGGGCTGTCTGACAGGTCTGTTATTTACTATAGTGTTCAGGCCTTCCCACAGCATCAGGACCCTGTGATGCTAGGTGCAAACACAAACACAGTCTCTGTGCTGAAGGGCTTCCAGTGTAAGGCCACAACATGTGGCCTACAAAGACTGGGGGAGACCATCAGATGTGTAGAACATACTTCTCGGGATAAACCCCCCTCGCTGCAAGAACGTGCCAGGAGACAGGCAAGCTGTCACAGACCAAAGGGCTCACGGCGTTCACAGACGAACCAGGGCTGGCTCTGAGCAGCGACCGCTAGAGAGTTCAGTGTCTTTGCAAGAGAAAACTGATTTGCAGCAGGTGGGTCTTGCCTCTAGCTTTGCATGTTAACAGCCCAACTTTCAGCCATGTAAAGCGCGCCCGGACCCCAAGGTGACAACCACCTTAGGCACACTATCAAACAGCGAGCTGATAAAGCAAGGTATGGTTTGCTGGGTGCTCCTTGCTGCATGTCAGGCGACGGGGAGGCCCTCGTTACTATCTGAAGCCTCGTTGCCCCTCGTTAACCAACTGTTTAAGTGAGGAATTAAATTGTTTTTTTATTAAAGAATTTATTATAATTATATATAAAAACTGGCAAAGTGATTGAGAGTTTGTAGGCATATTCACCAGTGTTTTGAAACACGCTATAAAATATCTGATCACACACAGATTTGTGTGAAATCCTGCCCCTGCCATGTCTCCTTTACCAATTTCCACATCAGAAAGAGCCAGCCTGGAGCGCAGTGCTATCCAGGCAGAAACGCTGCTTTGGCCGGTAATGTAGGTACATGACCCCTGGACGTTTAAATTCATACCCACTTGCAGGAACAGAGCTTCCCTTTCATAGGGAACTCAATGCAATCTGGTGCAACGCACCTTGCAAGGCAGTTGAAGTGTGAAGGCTACAGACCTGGATTAGAAGGCACAATTCCTGCTCCAGGGAGCTGCTGCCCTTCACCAGGGTCCACTGTCGCCCCTCTGTTGGGTGGTACCAGATGCCCACGGCCTTGCAGGGTGGCTTCCCAGAAGACGATACATCAGCGCTGTGGAGGCTGGCTTTAGTTGTACACGTACCGCAGCCCGGAAATGAGGTGGTCAGAGAGCGAACAGGGCAACCCCTTGTGGTAAGATGAGGCCCTGAAACATAAACCCTTGTATCAGAGGCCCGGTATGAGGCCTAAAGCCTGAACTAAAGGAATGGTCAAGACTTTGTTAACATAAAGCAAAGTTAACCTGTGAGCCAGAGGCAGGCCCTGCTCACAGAAGCGGGCAAGGAAAGAGCTGATGTTGCAAAAATACACATACCTACAAGGTACTGGACACTAGAGGTACAAACATGTGCCAGGATGGTACCAGAACACTCCGATACTCACACATTCCACACAGATAACAAGGAACAGGCAGACCCATCCTAAAGACAGGGGCAAAAGGGTAATATGAAGGCTAGAGTTGTTTTGTTCGAACCAACATGTACAAGCTGATAGGCAGCACCTTACTATATGGAGGGGTTGTACCTCAATACGTCAGGAGTGAGGTGTAACTTGTTTGTACCCGTGTATAAGAATTTACCCCTGAGAAGTTGTCTTGTCACGCTTAGGGGGCAGCGGTAAATCCCACCGCTGACGGAGTTATCCATTGTCAGGGAGCACATATGTACTAGCAGAACTGTACACATCTGATCTGGGGAGCGAGAAACTGTGTTTCGTTTGGCAATAAACCTGGATGGGTGCCTTCGTACCTTATCGGAGTCTATGGTCATTGGGGGTTCTCTCGGGTCTGCTGTGTCAGTGATCTGCAGAGCCGGGGCTGCACACAGAGGGAAGACACCCAGGCAGCCGACTGTTATCAGCACTGAACAGAGCAGAGCACCACACCGGTGACGTCTGACAACACCCCTTCTTCCAGGAATCTTGGCCCACCACTGTTCCTAGGGTGGAACTCTGCCTCCAGCCTTGGCTCTACTCAGAGACCAAGGCAAAGAGCGAACTCCTGCTGCCGCTCGGCCAGCTCCAGATCCTTCAGAGCTGCCTCTACATACACCTTTGCGTAACAGAATGGTCAGTTCAAGCGCATGAGCCAAAGCCCATTGAAATCAATGAGTCTTTCTAGTATCTTCAATGGGTTTTGGATCTGGCCCTCCATTGAACAGACAGCACAAGGAGTGACAAGAGACCATGGTGGATGAAAGTAGGGGCAGGAAGAGAAAACGCTCAAATGTTTTCTCATTCTTATGGCTGCAGTGCAAGGGTCAAAGAACCCTGAGAAGTGGCGTCAGCCACGGCTCTCTCCTCCTGGCTCCCCTGCAGGGGCAGTCCCCAGCTCCTGTGGTTGGCACAAACACCTTTTTCCTGCAAGAGGCTAAGAAGATCATCCCTCCATTTGTTTTTCACTCTCTGCTCCCAGGAGTCAAGCAAGAATCCAAGCAACTGGGGAGGGGGGGAGTAAGCAGCTTCATGCTGGTTCTTGTGAAATTTTATGGGCTATAAGAAGGTGTAAATTATGTGTAAGATTCTTCACAGCTGGTGGCAAGTAAGGGATAATCAGCTAATAAGTAAAACCAGGGGCTGCTGCGCATGTTTGTGCTTTGCCAAAATGAGTTTTTAAAAATACAATCAAGTGCTCACCATCAGCAAGGCCAAACACTGAGCTACACGAGGGGCTTGGAGGACAAACACTCAGCCAAACCCTGAGAGGGAAATAGCTTGTAAAGTGGAACCACTGGTCCTAGTTGCAGGGGTTTAATGAATTGAGCAGCATGCAAGGCCTCATGGCAAGAACTGAGGGCAGGGGAAAACTCTTGCTGTCTCTCCACATAGGCTCCTGGCTACTCAAGGCAATGCTTTTGCCTCTTCCAGCAAGCTGCAGTGCTGGGTGCATGTGATGCCTTACCAAGAGGAGCTAGGAGGGACGAAGACCAGAGCATCCTGGGAAGACCCAACTGCTGTATCTGGTACAAATATGGGGATGGATCAATTGATGATTCCTGTTCTGTTCATTCCCTCTGAAGCATCTGGCACTGGCCACTGCTGGAAGACAGGATACTGGGCTAGATGACCTTTGGTCTGACCTAGTGTGGCCGTTATTATGGGCTCCAGACCAAACCATTTCTTTTTTGGTGTTTAGAGGGATGAAATATTTTGTTCTAAAGGTGTGGGTGATATCACAGCATCGAGGCAAAATACTTGCTTGCATAGGCAACCCTGCAGGGCAGCAAGGTGACTCTAGATACCCATTACCTTACGCCTGCTCTTGTGATTCTACCTCACTCCCTTGTCCCTTTGCATCATAGCAACAGGTGGCGAAGACCCTATTTTCTTTCCTGGGAGACAGACACAGCTGCTCAGGGCCTCCATTCCCCATTGCAGTACTGGGGTAAGAATACATTCCTGGGATGCTGCAAGACCTAGACAGGGCATAGAATAGAAATGGATCCAACTCACAAAACTCAGATCCAAGTTTCCTCAGAGTGGAGAGGTGCTTGGATTTGGGATGTGACGGATAGTCCAGCCTTATGTTTACCTAGGGCCCAGCCTGCAAGGTTGGGTCTAGGTTCAGATCCATATTATAAGAGGGGACCTGGAATTTGGATTCAGACCCATCTGTGGCAGTCTGAGTGTCTTAGGAGACAGGTGCTGTATAGAAGCGCAAAGCGCTGGCTTCTGCTCTCTTCTGACAGTTCCATTCTCACGCTGTGTTCGTCACAAACTCTGGAAAATTCAAATACTAATAACGGAGGGTTCACTGAGCTTGGGGATGGCGGGAAGACGCATTTCCTGGTGTGCGATAACTCTGCAGCTGCACGTGCAGGTGGCACATTTGCAGAGGAGATGGAAAGCAAGACAACAGAAGCTCAAAGAGCAGGATATAAAAAGCAATGGGTGTGTAACACTATTTATCTCCTGCTGTGCCTGGCGGGTGCCAGGGTCTCTGAGGAGTGGATTAGGAGAGCTTCGCTGAGTTTTTATATACAACACTGCAGCTCTCACCAGTGTAATGCCCTCACAGTGCTGTCTCTCTCTCTACGTGCCCTTGGAGTAGCTTTATTTACTTTGGGCACAGCTGACCCGTATCACTAGTCTGGCTTGTGCCTCAGTAACAGCAACATTGTTAATACAGTTCCATCTGCAAGGCCAAGTTCTGCATTCTGTTACCCCTGTGCCAATGCTCAGATATCAATGGACTGGCCCGGGTTCGACTTTGGGACAAATTAGTAGACCATGAGGTTTGCCTGTTAGTAATTGAGGATGGAATTTGACCTGCAGAGTCTTAATTAGTGATGATGATGCTTGAGCCAGAACAAACTCCACCTCTGATCACAAGTGGAGGTTTCAGGATTGGTGGTTGTCATTTTTTAAATGTGTAAACCAGGTAGGGTGGAGCTGGAAGTCAGTGGAAAGTACTGAACCAACATGATGCTACTGTAGGACTCACATCTCAGAGCAGAATGGCAGTGTCCTCTCTCTGGCCTTTCCATTATTGGCCTTGTGGAAGGATGCTGAATTCACCTGCCCTTGCTGCCTACTTCCCC